GAATCACAGAATGGCCAGGGTTGGAAGGGACCTCAAGGATCATGAATCTCCAAGCCCCCTGCCACATGCAGGGCCACCAACCTCCACACTCAATAATAGACCAGGCTGTGCAGGGCCCCATCCAATCTGACCTTGAACACTTCCAGGGATGGGGCATCCACAACCTCTCTGGGCAGCCTGTTCCAGCAACAGCGACATCTGCCTTTGTGCCCTGGTGTGGCAGCTTGGCAAGCCCATGGGAAACCATACAGTAGAGGGTTGTTGCAGTTCCACCTGTTCTTCTCCTGGATCAGAGTGGTTTATGGTAGACTCAGTAAGCAGCCAGGAGCATAGGGCAATGACTACAGAGAGGGAAAATAGGAGAGCTTGTAAGGGTTAGGTTTATCAGCTGAGAAGGTTGAAGTGCAGGAAAGTTTTGTTGAGTTACTGCAGACACTAGAGATTGTTAGGTTTCTGGGAGGCAGCTTTGGGTGCGTGGAGAGACAATCCAACATCTACTCAGAGCCTGCCTTTATAACTACATTTAGGTTCCTAAGAAGTTGTTGAGGTGTCCATGCAGTGAGCACTAACATCAGTGTCTGTGCTTTGCACCTGCTTTCTGCTTTGGGTATATCTGTCCCACTTTGTCTGTTTTTATGGTTTATGCAAGAGGATCTCAGTTTATCCTGGCAAACGAGTTACATAAGCCTCATTAATCTAGTCCAATAACTGTAGTAGTAAGGGCTTTAAAGCCCAGCTTCCTACTTTCTCCAGAACTAGTTTCTGTTTTGAAACATGATGATGTGTTTCAGGGACTGCTAATTAGCTGTTTCTTTTAAAATTAACACAGGCGTAATTAAGGCCTTTTGCCTTCATATTCAAGTGTGGGTTCTTAAAATTATTAATTCCATTTCATAAGTCTTGTCAGTATTCCTATATAACTCTGCTCAATTTTATCCTAAAATAATCTGCAGTTTATTTTAGGCTCTAGGATTAGTGGACTTACTCTTCTATACTTAGAGATATATGAATAGATGGATGTAATATGATGCAACAGGGAGCTGCAATATAGATTTAGAATTCTTCCATTGTGTATTGGAGCTGCAGCCATGCCCAGAGGCTGCAGTCAGGGTACAGACGTGTGCAAGGATACACAGAGCCTCGCTTCTGAAGAGCTTTCAATCTAATGTGAGGCAAAACTTGTCAAGTCATTTTGATTAACAGAGAGAGTGAAGGAAGAGAGGAAAAAAGAGTTCAGCTGACTGTGTTCTTCAGCTAGGCACTCAGATGGGGTTTGCTGGAGCATATAATTTCTCATTTATTCTGTTTTTAATATTTCATTTTTTTGTCCCTGACCAAGCAGTTGTTGTTTAAATGATTTATGTCTGTATCATAGCTGAAGTTTATCCTAAAGAAAAGAGGAAAGGAGCCTACTGTCCAAACTAGTTCAGAACAGGCATTTCAGGAGTTAGGAGGATGGGCAAAAACATCAGTAACATTTAAATAGGTTCTTACCATGCCGATTGCTAATAGCAACAACAACAAAAAATATGTGGCATGAAGGAAATATTCAGGAACTCTTTTGCTTTTATTTTCCTTATATGCTTTTCTAAATAGTTTGAGACAACTGTTGACACCGCTTACCTCTTTTATTTTTCTAAGTTGGTGTAGATGATATTGCATTTTTTAATTTAAAGGAATCATATGGTGCCTGGGATGGTTATTTATATTTTAATTGTTCTGTAACCTGAATGTTTGCTTGGTAAACTCTACCAAGGTAATGAATTTCACTTTAAATTTAACACTTGTAAGTAGTGTCTGAATGCAGAAAATAACACTATTCAGCTAGTTAATGCTTTTTTAAGTGCATTTTAATCTCTATACATCTTTGCAAAGGAGCAAGGGAACAGTTTATTGAGCTGCATATGTCAGCTCTCTGCCCCATACACAGTAACATAGCAAGGGGTATGGCTTTCACCCGCTTCTGAAAGGAAGGTTGGAGCTGAAGCTCTGCCCGCTCTGTGAACCCAAGAGGGCACCCAGGCATTTGCAGTCCTTTCTTGCCAGAAGGAAGACTTAGAATGAAAATGTAAATATTTAATCACAGACTGGGTCATGGTCTGCTCAAGGCAAGACCATAATTGGCTTATCAAAAGAAATTCTAACTTTTTAAATCACATTATTCTAAACAAAAATGATAACTATTTATCTTTACTTTTACTGTACTATTCCCATACTGATGCAGGGAAGTTATGGAGAAGCAGGACTGCAAAGAAGTAGATAAAGATCTGTGTGCATCTCTAAAATCCAAAAATTATTCTGGAAGCTTATAAATTGAATTCTTACAGATTTTCATCCTCTCGAAGAGGGAGAATGTCAGCATTTTCATTTCATGTTTAGTTTTCAGTATTTTCATTTAAATATGCAAAAATGCAATGCTAAAAGTACAAACGTGTGATTGTTTTATATGTTTTATGTGCACATGGCATATGTTATAGTGACTGATGTTAAAGTGATTGGACAAAACGTAGGGCAAGCATTTATTCTGTATTGCAGCACCTAAGTGTTCTGGCAATCTATAAGTGGCAGTGAAAAATAACTGTCTCTATTTTATTTTTTTATAACTGATTTATTTTGTCAGAAAGCTTTTCAAGTCTTGACTTGGCAATATGTCATAAATCACATTTTAGCTCACCTTGTAAATAAAGGCAGAATTGCCTTCCGAGCGTATTTGGTGTTTTCCTGTGTAATTAACACCTCGCTCACAGTTGTGTCTGCCAGTCACAGCCCTGCCTTCTTCCCAGAGACACTTCCTTGATACTTTGTTTAGACTGATGTGATTTTATGTGTCTCCTCAGGATGCTTTAAATAAGACCAAACAGGAAAAGGAAGGTGCTTCAAGAAGTCAACAGTATAGATGGTAATAACTCACAGGAACATTTCAAAAGTATGAAGCAGTTCCTATTTGGTTATTACTCACTTTATTATCTCAAGCTGGTTTTCATACTTTCCCAGGAAAGTTTACTGTCTTTCAAGAGAGCAGGGAAATATTAATTTCCATCTGTCTTTAATGAAGTAGAGATCAGTCCAAATGTCACATCTCAACTGTGAGCTTAAAATCTAAATTGGATTTTGGCATATGGGGTGAAGGCCCGAAGAAGCAATGTGACTTTGGTGGCACTGATAGCTAACTGTCCCTTTTTTGGGGGAGTGTATATGCACACCTTTCCCAGAACTGTGGCCTCTCATGCTCGGCTGACTACAAGGCTGCTCCAGTGAGCTGAATCCTGACCTAAGTTAAAAATTAGAGGGCTTTCTGTGAGCTGTCTTTAACTCAGTTGACTTACGTGCTCTGGTTCATCTCATGGCTGCACAGGCTATGTTACCAGCCAACAGAGGACATATCATGGGGTGGGTGCTGAGCTTTGAACCCAATATAGGCACCTGGTGCCGTATTTTGATTCTGAACATTCACCCTGGGCTGCCCCAGTTGTGGCTCTGCATGTGCGAGTGCTGACAGGATTAAACAGCTCAGCTCATAGCATATGTCTCAGCTAGATAAGACCAGGAATTTGGCACTCCAAATATGCTGATTTTTCTAATTTATTTATTTTTTCACAGTGCCCTTAAAACACACTGACTGACTCATAAAACTGGTGGCAGAGCACTTGTCCATGTCACATCCTGACAGACAAAGCATGTCCCATGTCCCCACAGTCCTTGTTGGGTTCTTTCTTCACTTTGAAGGGCTTCTCACCCTCGTGTCCTGCTTCTTAGAAGCACCTCTGATATCTGAGCAGTGGATTATGCTGGTGAGCTGCAGGCTATGAGGAAAGGGATTTTTCACTTTTACTGAGGGTAAACAAGATGAGGACAGGATAGTTCGTGATTAATGAGGGGCAGAGCATGAGAGGTTTCTACACATTAGGGTTTTCACCTTTAGAGAGTTAGGCTGAGGTTTCCCCCTCCATTCCTGAGGTTTCATTCTGCACCCTGTGTGATATCATTTAATAAGATACAGAAGTAGTGTTAGATGTAGGAAACATCAGTTACAGAAATATCCCCTATGTGCTAATTGTGAGCTGTCAGCAAGCATTTTCCTTTTTTTGGCTTCTTAAGCCAAGTTTTCACTGGGACATCCCCCTAATCTTTTTGTTAATTTATGTTTGCTATATGCAAGGGAAAAATTAGTCAGTGTGGATATAATTTTCTTTTTTCCATCACACCTAGATATTGGATATTCCCAGCTGTTGTTTCTAAAAAAGTGCATTGGATTTCAGCTTGGTAATGAGGATGTAAATTACTGTGAATTACTTCCATTTTTGTGTTATCTTCTTAAAAAGAAATGTGTGTGTGAAAACAGCAGTTGTCCAATTGAGCTCACTGCTAAAATATCATATTAGTTACATGTGCATCTTTTTCAGACTGAGTTGAAAGTCTCCTGTTAACTTAAGTAGATTTTTATGGACCTTAAGTTTTAATGCAAATGATGTTGCACTTGCAGTATGTATACAGATAGTACTAATTGCATGAAGAAGATGAACTGTTTTTCCAGGTAAATCTCTGAGCGTTTTCTGTTTGTTCTCAAACACTGGAGAAAGATGGGGGTGTTTGTAAACAGGGTTATGTTGCACATTTTTACTGACAGTGGGAGTCAGGGAGACTACTGCTGTGACACAATTTAGCATCTCAAACTCTGGAACATTCAGATGAAATATAACTCATTTACACATCATCAGGATTCTGTATCGATGTGCAGTCATATTTGAGACATAGCTTTAAAACATGACAGTAAATGTTACAGAGATGCAAATGCACTGTTTCTTGTAATTTTTAAAAAACAATCTTGGAAGTTGGAGACTTAGGTGGTGTTGCAGTGACTTGTATAAGTATTCAGTCTGGGTAATTTTTGACCTTCTTGCTACTAAATAAGGCAGTAAATCTTTTAAACAAAGCTCTAATTACTGATCAGTCATTAGCAGTAACATTTATAAACATCTGCTGCTCTTTTCTTTTTCCAGGGAAGAAGAGGCAAGCCAGGCCTCCCTGGAAAACCGGGACCGCCGGGACCTCCCGTGAGTATCAAGCAAGGGGATAGGAAATATCCACCCCATCCTGGAACAGTAGTCTTTGCTAGTGCTTTTAAACAGCTTGCCTAAGCTGGTTAAAGTTGAAAACAGTTGATCTGCTGTACCAGATGGCTTCTAGACCCAGCCTTTTTATACAGTAGAGATAAAAGGACTGTGTCCACAAACATAAGAGAATGCACAGAACAATACAGAAGGGAATAACTAAGATGCTAACTGCTGTGGAGGAAACAGAAGATGTCTGGCATTTCAAAGAAAGACCAGCCATGTATACTAAATGGGAATACTGTGCATTCATTCACTTTACAAAACGCGTGATGCTCTGTAGAAGATGGGATAATTTCAGTCTCAGAGGGGTAATTTGAAAGATGAAGGACTTTGTGAAGCATGTGCCAACTGCCTGAATGGCAGGGAGGATTATACCCAGCACTGGAATGAGCACTCAGCTGTGGTTCAGATGAGTTTACTGAAGAATTAAAAAGATTAGGAAATACATGACTCTATGAAAGGATTTATAAAATGGAGCACTAACAGTTTTAACTCAGATCTAAGAGGTTTGGGATTTGTTTTTTAAGAGATACGTGATTTCAGATTTGAAATCAAGCATAAATCTGGGCTATCTTAACCTATAATGAATGCAGTCTTGTTTTGGTAGAAGAAGACTTGGTCATATTTATAAAATTCCCTTTATATTGTATTGTAAAAATACTATTGTGCACAAATAAGGAACAGCTGTAAATTTGTGGAATAGGTAAACTGCTGCTGCTTCACATTCATAGTATCAAACAAGGATTCCATTTTATGCTTATCTGAAATAGATAAAGGTCAGCAGTTCTCATGTCAAAACATTTGATCTGTGTACTTCAAGCTTACAGCAAGAGAAAACTTCCAGGTTTATTTCTAGAGAAGATAATCTTGCTGCATTAAATAGAATTAATAAATTGAAATAGATGCCATTTACAGTGATCTAAAAACACAACCCCTTAAATGTTACAAATCACATTTATTTCCTTTTTTCATTGGGAAAAAAAAAAAAAAAAAAAGGGAAGAAATTGAAAATTATGTTCATTTATCCTGCATACAGTTTAATAGCTAAAAATTCCTGCTTCTCCTCTGCTACTCATTTTCATATTGAGGCCTTGTTTTTTTGAGTGTTTTGTACACCGTGGGGCTGCTAGTGCTAAAATGATATTGCAGACTCAGTGGTGTCCAAAACGAGGGAAGAAGTGATGTGAAGAAGAATCTTTCTTAATACAAATGCCATTAAATGGCCTTTGAAGTAAAAACAAATAGAAAATAAAAACATAGAAGACACAAAATGCTTAACTTTTTATGAACCAATGAAAAACTGTAGGTCTGTTACAGATTTCTGCCATCACAGGTGTGCTTGCAAATCAGGGAAGATGCGTGGCCTTTGAGAGTCTCACCAGAAACAAGGAGTGGATGCTAAATTGCACTTATTTAAGACTATTTCAGATTTTCCTACATCAATGCAAAGCTCCTCTTTTTCAGCATGGTAGGATCCATTTGAGGAGCACTGTATGGGGACTGTACCCTAGCACTGCTTTATCAGGCAGAGTTCCTCAGGCAAGCAATGCCCTAAATATTGGTTAAAGATCTTTTTTTTCTGATATAGCCATATTGATACAGTCCTTATTTTGGATACAGCTACACCAGCATCTTGACTTCTTTTTCCACAACTGAGAAAATAATCTATGAAAAGCAAGCTATATAAGGAGTAATGCTTATTAACATGCATTGGCCGTATCCCCATATTTAAAGTGCTGAAGCTTGTACATACTCAAAAGAGTTTAACTGGATTCATCATTTGTCTTCTTTTTTTCAAGGCTCAGAACACACTGGATTTTGCTGTGTGGTTCTTACTGCTACCACTCTGCTTCTAACAGTAGTGGCAGCCTCTTCATGAATATGGATATGGCCTCTGCTTTGGCCTCAGAACTATCACTCCCACAGGCTGATTGCTATCATAAATTTGCCATGCATAGGGTACAAAATGCTTAACAAATTGACTTAATGTGAATATTAAGCTCACTACAGTCTGGAGTTTTCTCCAGAAAAAGTAAAGTTGGTGTTTGATATTTCAGAAAAACAAGAAAATTTTATTTCCAAAAAGGAAGATTAAATTATTAATTTTTAGATCAGCTAAATGCTGGTGTTATCTGTTCACGTTATGTGGTACTTAAATATTAGAAAAACATCCAGGTGCTCAGCAATGACAAAACAAATGGACAAAAAAACCCTGTGAGATGGAAAATTTTGCCTCCTTGAGGACAGTGGAGAGCAGATGTTAGGATACCCAAGGGGCTTGATGTAAAGCACAGTGCTAAAAAAAAAGGAGGGAGGGAAAGTATATAAACCACATTCTGAGCAGCCCAAAGGGCTATAAATTGGATGTTACTAAGGGGTATGCATTTTGATAAATCAAAATAATTAATTTTCAGCTACTTCTGGCATTGCAGAAATAAAGGTTTGCTTTGTATTCTCAGCCTAACCCTTCTAACATTTTCTCAATTCTCCTTTTTTCTTTCTTTCTTTCTTTTTTTCTTTTTTTTCTGGTAGCCTAGTTTCTGGGGATTTTTTTCTCCCCTAGTAAAATTGATGTTTGTGGTGAGTTTCTGGTACCTTACCATCATCTGCACATCTTTGGTTAAAAAATGCCATCGCTGTGCCTGAAATGTACATCTATTGGCAACTGTTGATTGAGTTACTTGGTTTAAGTGGGACTCTCTGTGCATCTTCTTCCAGGAGTCCTTTAATGTGTACCATTTTTTTCCTTTGGTGCAAACAAGGCCACAGGTAGCACCAGGGGAGATTTAGATTAGATATACGGAAAAACTTCTCTCAAAGAGTGGTCAGGCACTGGAATGGCTGCCCAGGGAGGTTGTGGCATCGCCATTCCTGGCAGTGTTCAAGAGGTGTCTGGATGAGGAGCTATGAGATATGGGTTAGTGCTTGCGGTAGCAATGGTAATGGGAGGACGGTTGGACTAGATGACCTTGCAGGTCCTTTCCAACCTTGTGATTCTATGATTCTATGATAAATCCTGCGCCCACAAAAGCCAGTCAGTGAACACTGTAGACTTTTAAAGTCTACTGTTATTCCCTTCTGGTTCAGAATTCATGCTTTCTGATGTTGTTTTTAAGTATCATACGTATCATTTCACTACTGGAAGACTCCCACATGTCACACTCTGGTGCGCAACAATTTAAACTGAAAACGAGGAGGCCAAATCGTTTCAGTAGAACTGCAGCTCCCTCTAGTGCTTATTGGTTGCTTCCTCCCTTTTAAAAATGTCTGGAGAACTGTTGAAAGCTTCTGTAAATTACACTATTCCTTTCTCTCTCAAAAACATTCTGGATATTATGAGTGTGAAACAAAAATCTCAATACCTTTCAAATGTATTTCATACATTGTCCTACGTGCATTTTCTTCTAAAATCCTATTTTGCGTGGTTCTATATTGAATTCGAAGCAATGATTTTATAAAACAAACAAAAAAAATTACTCTCTTGGTAGGATGCTATGAGATTCTAAGTACAGCATTTTGATCTCATGGCAGAGCTGCACTGAGAGCTTTCTGCAGTAGTTGCTATCAAAAATATCTGCAGGACTTAGCATCACAGAAGGGGGTATTTCATACCTGTTTTTTGAAGTGTTTAATTCATAATTATTCTAGTTACAGCACCAATACTTTCAGTAGTTAAATGTATTGAAGGTGTATGAACCTAACGTTTATATGTTGTTGGCCTAGTGATGCACTGGCCAAATTCTGTGACCTTCTCTTATACTTAGGCAAAGTGGTTTTCTGGTCAAGACCTGAAGAATCACTGCTTGCCTTCTGTTCAAAGTTCTGTTAAGAGAAGGTCACTTGTGTTTCTACTATGAACTAGAGATTCTATTGTGTTTCTAAATTGCTGGCATCTGGCATTGTTTTACATATTTTGGTTGTTCATGGGAGATACTGACACTGAAACAGGATAGTATAGGACACATTATGAATTTAGTGAAACCTTTCTAAGGTATAGAGTTTATATTTTTGTTTTATTTCAGTTTAAGTAGGACAGAAAAAAGATTTTTTTTCTGGTTTCTCCACTAAGGGTTAACTTGATCTCTTCTGTTCCAATTTTCTCTGTCTCTGCTGGAACATTTAGGACTGAATAATTTCCATTTCTAAATAGTTCCAATTACAGCGGATCATCAAATTGTTTCAAAAATAAAGAACAGCAAGCTAGAATTGCTCTACATATTCCTACAAGCATAGCAGTACTCTCTGGGGTGAGTCAGAGTAAGATTTCTGCCCAGTGTAACTGTTTGGCAGAAGAGAAATACCGTCAACATTATTATTTAAAGCCATGAAGCATATGATTTGGCCAAGTGTCATCTTGTCTAAGAAGCTGTATGTGGCAGAGCATGCAAATAAATGTTGAGTCACCTAAATCATAGGTTAACACACTGCAATCTAGATTATTCATCCTCTTATATCTCTGCTATTTTCTATTGAAATGTTCAAAGTTACTGTTTGCAACCAGAATGACTGTACTTCACTTTTCCTGTTTTCTCAGAAGTTTCTTTAACTAGGGATCTGAAGCATCAAATTCTTTATATCAAGAACTGGTTCACCAGGGTTCATCTCCCTTTACAAAGGGCTGGAGTTTCTGTCTTTATCAATGAAATCATTCTTCAAAGATTAGCATGAAGTCTCCTTAAAGTCTTACATTGAAATAAGGTTTATTTTTTGTTTGTGTTCCTTATGAGGCAGTGGAGAAGTTCACAGCCTACTTGAGTTCCTTCATTTAATTCCATACAATTTTGGTCCCTCTTATTCAATATGTATGTCAGTGCCACCAGAGCAGTTATCTTAAGTAGCCAGCAGTTTGCGTTGGAAATCTCATTTCCTCTGCTTCAGGAAGTACTGTCATTCTACCAGTATTTTGCAAGTGAATGAATGTTATCACTTAATTACAATAAACAGAAAATCAAAGCAGTGGTAAGTGAAAATTGTCAGTAGGATTTCTGGTATTGCTGGACATTCTGCTGCATTTTAGAAAAATATTATAAATGCCTAAATGGTAGCAGGGGAGTGACTGGCAACGACTGGTCGTGTGGTTTATTTCTTTGCATTTAAGTTTTTAAAATTCATATAAAAATGTAATTTATTTAATGTATTCTGTTGTGACAAACAACATCATTCTTTCTTTTTGATCTTTGGAATAACTTTTCAATGTTACATACCTATGCTGATCAGTTCTGTGGTTTTTTACATTTCAGTAATCAGAAAATGGTATTTTATTTTCAGGACTAGGTATAGACCTGAAATAATTGAAAAAAAGAGATTACACTGAGTCACTTTCAGTGCTGCATTCTCAGAAATGGCCTGTTATAGAGGTGCAACCACTGCAATTCACTTGTTACATGTTTTGCTACATAGACTGAGAGAATGGGTGGACTTCTCAGCAACCACAGAACACAGCAAAATACAAAAGTTAAGGAAAGAAAATACATTATAAACCAACGTAATTTCACAGTTTGTTCCTACCTTGACAATGGAAATTACATCTTAAACTTGTTTGTAATTTTCGTAAATAATTAGGAGATATTTTCAGTTCTTTTCTTATCTATATGTGTGTATTCTCTGTGTGCTTCAGTTACCTCAATTATAAAACATAATACACAATATTTAAAAATAAAAAAATGTAAAAACCCTACTCAAGAGAGCCTGTCATTGGTATTTCCATAGGAGAAAGCTTGAAAAGCATCCAAAATGGCAGATGTGCAAAATTCTTGTTCAAAAGGCAGAAGTTTCCTGCATCGTAGTTCTTCTGTCTCTGTTAATTTTATTGCTTATTTACTTGCAAACCAGTTTTGCTGGTTTGTTTATCTCCTGTGGAGATTTCAAGAGTAGATTATGCAGCTACATTAGTAGAGTGAAACAGTATGGAATGAAATACGGAGGCTAGAGTTTAGGAAGAGACCCTTGAATAGAACAATTTTCTGTTCCTGTAGAAAAATTTTATTCTTTTTATTCATTATATTATGGAGGCTGATGGAATTATTAAATTGATGATAATTCTTGGAAATGAATAAGACAGGTGGTTTACCTCTGGCGACCCAAAGCCTGTGACATTGTCAAGAATGCAAGCCAAATATGCAAGCTCCCCTCAGCTGCCTCAGTCACAAGATAGTTCTGGGGTTTCTTGAGGTTGTATCATTTTCTCAAAACAATGACATGTCAAAAGGGTTCCAATTTTGTCAGAAATGATTTATATGATGCATAGTTAATATCTGAGAGGTCAGAGTTGGTGATAGATAGAGCATGTGATCCTTTTTTTGCATTACTATTGCATTAGACCCCTTTTTTACTGGTTTTCCAACCTTAAAAAAATGAAGGAGACAACACAGTAGCAAATGAAAAGGGGTGATAAATTCTGATTTTTTTGATCATTTGCCACATTTGAGAGTCCTTGTTAAAAAACCTTCCAGTGTTGAGTTTGAGACCTCAAATAAGTATGGAGTGTCATCATGGTTCAGTCCCAGTTCTGAACTGTCATCTTTAATATGGATATCAGAGCATAAATTCTGCCACTAATTCCAGAAATCAGAATTGAGGGAACATCTCAGTAAAAACATCATGACAATATTTATATTATTTTTCATTGTAAATCAAGAGTGACAACTCACTTCCAAAATAAAATGAATAGAAACAAAGATGGGCTTATGTCTTTTCCAGTGATAGTGAACAAAGAGGAAGTGAACCAGCTGTAAGGTTTTGTGTGGTATATACAGTAGAAATAATAAATACACCATTATTACTTCTCAGCAGTAAAAGTTTCAGCAATATTTGCACAGATTAATTCTTAACACTTCAGTATTTTCCTTGGGCCTCTACATGAAATCAGTGGACAATTTCTCAATTTTTTCTAGAAATACTTTGGAATCCTGATCCTTTACTGGTGCGAGTTTGGCAGCAGTTCTTGTTCAGGAAGTCTTATATTTTCATCTTGACAAATTGCTGTCATGGGTGATGTGTAATTTGACTTCTGACTTCTTGTAAGAATTTTACAGTGCCTTCAGCTTGAAAATGGTAGAAAATGTCAACAGATTTTTATTCTGAAACTACAGAAAGCTGCTTTCCTATTGTAAGGTGTTCCAGAGTACGTCTGTAGCGAATGCAATGTGTGTGTAATAACAAGGCTTACGGAACAATTAACAAGGACCTTATGAAAGTGTAAATCTGTGATTAAATTCTCTGACTAATCTCTAATGTCTGACACAGAGTCTTACTGATAAGCAGACTCTATTTTCTTCAGGAACAACCCTTTCCAAAACTGAACAGAGTTCAGTTGCATAAAGCAATCTTTAGGGAACATCTACGCCAACTACATTTTTCCTACTAACACAAAAGCTGCAGGTTCCTGTAAATTGTCTGTAATTATAACACAACAGAACAAGAGTTGCCTTTGTGCCTTGTCTCAGTTAAATGCTGTTCATTCAGACAGATGATTTGAACAGATATTTTTATCTCATTAATGTATCCAAATGTTTCTTACAGTTTCTTACACTCAGACCATGAGTGGCTATATTTCTCATTGAATGATGTGTAAACCACAGCTTTAAGAGAGATACTTTTCTGATTCTTTATTTATATTTACCAAAGTTTTACTTCATAAGATCTTTACTCAACTTTTTATATTCTGCCCTGCATCACAAGACCAAAAATCGCACTGAGGGCCTGGTTTGTGGCAGAATATGTCTTTTTTTTTTTTTTTTTTTTTTTTTTAGTATGTATATTGTATGTATAAGCATATATATATCCAACCTAAGACTGCATTATATTAGAAGCATGTTCTCCTTTTTTGAAATTCTAGGTGAAAGTTGTCTGTCTAAACTTGCATAGCCAATAAAACTAGAAAATCTCCCAGAGAAATCTGTCATTCCTCAATTTCCCTTTCAGAAACTCCGAGTTAAAAAATCTGACTGTTTAGTCACACCTGAAGATGCTTCCACATCAAAATTTGTGCTTTGAGTTAGTGAAAAGAATTCTTAAAATGCTGCAGAAGATTCAGTTCATAGCAGAAAAGGTTCCTATTAGAATTGATGTGAATGTCATCTCTGCCTTCTCTGACAGATGGATTCACCACAAAATAGTTGCCAGTTTTCTAAACGGAAAGATTTTGAAACTGATTGTGCTTCTCGTTGTGCCTGGAGAAAGAAAAAAAAAAAAAAAAAAGATATAATGAGTTTACAGAAAATGATTTATTGTGGAAGCAAATAAAAATTGAAATCCCTTTACAGGAACAGAACTCTCTTTGAGTACAGGTAGGTAAACACAACGTTATTAAATTAAAATGATCTTCTGATACCTGTTTCTTCCTTACAGGGTCCTTCTGGACTAGAAGGAATTCTGGACTCATTGAACAAACATTATAATGAGGTATGGAAATCTGAGTTGTCTGTCCATGTCTGTGTGCTTAATGGCTAAGAAGCATCTAATATAGAAGTGACCACAATTTTGATCTTTGCAAACTGCATTCCAAATTCATCTAAAAAGTTGATCCTTCTCCCTACTCCCCTTCTGTACCCCTCCAGAGGCTCAGTCTGCATACCTACTATGTCATCTATCCTGCTGCCATACGTCTTATCTCCCACGTCTCATACTCCTTTATTTTTGACTGCTGTTACCCAGAAAGGAGGAAGCTGGACCACCCAGCTGTTAGTATGAATCACAAGCTCCCCAGCTCTAAACATAATTGATCTAAATCATATGTGACATTTCTTCTTTCTTTCCCTAACTTGACATGATCCTAAGAATAGAACAGAAATGCAAGGAGGTAATTAAGTCCGCTAGAGATCTGTGAGAATTGTCCGTATGCATATATTGTAGACTAATAAGAGTATTGTCTTAATTACATGACATTTTACAACTAGAAGCACTTCATAGAAAGATGTTAAAATAGCATATGAGCTGCTATTTTCTCCTTTAAACTCTTACATAGATATTTCTGATCATTTATTAGTTGTAGTATCTGCCATTGTAAAGCACTGTGATTCACAGATCATGCAGGCCTTCTTAATTGGTGGTGAAATGAGTACATAATTTATCTGAATAAAAAGTCATATTTCATTCAAAGGCTTATAAAGAATTATTATAGGAATTGCCTACTACAGAGGCTAATGTGTGTTTCCTGCTTTATGTCCTTCATATCAAACCTGGAAGATATTCAACTCCTTCAATGTTAAAATGCATTACTATGAAAAGCAGGTGAAAACAGACTATTTTTATTGTATAACATATCCAGATGAGTACAAAAATCTTGTTCAGGAAAAAAAAAAAAATCTGGAGTGAAATTCATGTCAAACATATCTTCCTTTTTGCTTTTGACACTGACATGACATCACTGGTATTTATGGTTTTTAATCCATTCCTAATCAGTCTATAAATTTAGAGCTTGGATTAAGAATTAAGTATGATTTTGTATGCTGTCTTGGATATTTTTATTTTCTAGATTTGATCTACCATTTCACATGTATGTGTCTACTCTGTATTCATACTTTCTGGTTTTTTCACTAGTTTCTTTTTCTTTCCAAAGACAGCTTTCCCTGATAACAGTCCTGTTTTCTCTATCAATACCATATTTACTGTAGCTCATTCTCTACCTCTGGTCTATTAATCTTTTTTACCCTGAGGGTCCCTTTAAGGTTAATTCTGTATCAGGGAACACAAACCCTGGGGATCTTCAGGAACTCGTGAGCATCTGTCTCCAAGAACCCCATTTCTTGTCATTGCATGGCTATAAGTGCTGCTAAGGTGTCTTACATTTCCTAATTAACAATCTTCTGGAAAAATGTAGACCAGCTGCTCTGTGTCTGTAAATTAATTGTCTCATAAATTCTGAACCACTAACTAACATTCCTCTTCCTTCAGCTGTCTAGTTTGAAGATTTTAATGACTCTGTCATGAGCAATTAACTGTTCAACAAGGAAGTGCTAAGATTTCGTTTCAGAGGAGAGAGATGATGGCTTTCTGATTCAAGTAGCAGGTTTTAAATACATAGGCTTTTTACAACTGTGTGTTCTTGCTAGGGTCAACTGAAGTCTCCAGCTGCAACAGCAAATGTGTTAGTTTCTATACAGTTTATGATGGGAGCAGGATATTCCCATCAGGGAAGTCATCAAAGACATGTCTACTTTGCCACTGATTTTTAATTTAGGCAGATGTACGCAACATTAACTTCCTTCTTCTTCTTCTTTTTTTTTTTTTACACTGTTGCATACTGTGGTGAGCATTGATTTTGTTCAATGAATCTCAAAGGTACCAAGCAATCTTTCTTGTTCAAGTGCATAGTTTTCAGTGTGCTTTGATTGTTAGCATTTGTGATATGATATTTCAGTCAGAGGTTTTTTGAGGTTTTCTTCCACCACAGGGAAGTTCTGTCTTTTTGTAACATTTTATGCATATTCTCAAAAATCTCACCGGCATTTTTTTGTGGAGATTTTTTAATTGCTTGGATTGTAACCATATTTTTATAGCTATAGAGACTTTAAAATCAGATTTCTCTGAGAGTGTTAGTACAGCTTCTTTTATTGGTATTTCTAGGAGTCATGACAAACACTGCCAGCAAGAAAGGTGGGAAATCAATGAGAGATGATCTGAACTCTCATCATAAATTAAAATAATCCCTTTCTGTCTTTTCTCTATTTCTGAGCATATTATCTGGTTCTTAAGCCTTTTGCATTTCTTCTGATTTCTGTGTGGTACCAATGAGTTGCCATGATTGTAGTGTATTTATGCAATTCATTGCAATTAAGCTTTTTCTGGCTTAATATTAATCAACGTACCAAGTGAGGAGGCTACTGTCCACATTTTCAGATGTGTAATTTTTTGAGCTATGCATGTAATAAAAGAGCACTATGAATAGAATTCCTGATTTACAGGAGCAAGTTGTGCTGAATGGCAAACTAAATGCATCAGTCTTTCTTTAATGAAGGCAAGGGGAATCTGCTGAGGATAATTAGAGGCATTGATCCCTAGTGGAGTGGGAGACAGTGCTGGAGCATTTTTTTCCTCTTCATTCTTCCTTTATGTCTGCTCTTATTTTCATATTTCTTCTTGTGCTTTTATATTCCTTCCTTCTGTGCTTTCACTATATTTACAGAGATGCTTTGCATACATTTGATACCTGCATTTTTTTTTTCATTTCTTATGCCAGAAACTGTTTCTGCCCTGCTCTGTACCTTATGTTTCTTCTTTGGTGACCTGTGAACGATGATTCATGCCGTGTGTTTACATGTTCTCAGGCCTCTGTTATCATCCTTCGCTTGGGCTTTCAAGGCCTCTTCATGTCATCTTTTTAATTTGCTTTCTACCATACTCAGGTATAAGGTCACTTCAGTCAGCCCTGCTTCTAAACATCCTTGGAAAGGGCATACAGATCAATTTAATCTGAAATGTTCGCCATCATACAAAAATGAAACAACAAAGCAAAACAACTGAAACTACATCACAATCTGCTCTGGAAATTTTTCAGAATTACGCATTGATTTGTGAATAATTCATCTTTGCTTTCTGAAGGCTTTTTCTTCAGCATATTTTTCTTGCATTTTGTTTTAAAGAGTGAATGACTATAAATATGCAAAGAGCATAAAAGCAGCTTTTTGTTTGAATGCCTTTTATATTTCTCCATGTATGCAAAAGAAATGCACAAGTCAGAATAAATCATAAATTATAGCCTACTCCTTACATAATGGCAGGCACCTAGGCTGTTCGAGGTTAAGCAGTAGTCAGCTTCTACTCAACAGTACTCATGTTCCCTCAGTATCTGCTTCTTCCTCTGGAGCTGTTTTTTGTAATTAGCTTAGTAACTGTTACAAACGCTAACACTGCAGAAGATCCATCAGGACCTTAATGTTTATTAAATAATTGAATTGTATTCAATTTATGTTCAGCTATATTTCAAAAATGTTAATAGAGTGTAAACCTATTTGCGTTCATTGTAATACTTCCCTTTTTACAGACAAAGAAACCAGAAAATGGCAAGGGAAATTGACGTGTTTAGTATTCACATTCAGCTTAGTGGCAGATGTTTCAAGGCTTAGATTCCTTCAGTCCAAACCAAAGCTCATTTTTCAGGGTCGCTACTTTTTTCATTGTCATTAAAAGCAAACATATTCCCTGGAGGTAATCTGAGACTAAGCACTGTAAAGATGTAACTATTTTGTCTTACGCTGTGTCCTTACCTTGTGCAGAAGAATAAATAGGTACAGTTCAAAAGTACCTTGTAAACATACAACCTGAACTCCTGTTCCTTAGATCTGTTTTCTATGAGAAGCAGTGTGAGAAGTCTGTTGAACATATTAATTCCCTCTTTCTGTCTCACTACTGTAATGGAAGTCCATGCTGCTCAGACAAAAAAGACTTGTGTTTTTGTCATAGTTATGTTTGCTGTTCTTTTCAAACATACGTGAGAAAAGAACTGAAATAATTAACATAAAAATATATTATTTGAACTAATTTAACAGGAAAAAAAAATCACAAATTTGCATAGCAATATTCAGCATAGATATTTGCCTCATGCTTTTGTATGTGATCTGCAAACGTGAGTGGAATATGAGTGCATGAAGAAGTGTGTGTTGCTGCAATACATTACTTACATGTACTGTATGGGAATTTAGTATTCTTCTCTGACAGTAAATTAGGACTTCTGGGTTTATGTACTGGCAAATTGAATGCAACTGTTATGGTAACAAAATCCTAAATCAATGTTGACATAATTTTTGTTATAACATTTCTTCACAGAGTGATCCAAGACTAATAGGATTACTTGGGACCCCTGGATCTGAAGGCCAAAAGGGAGAAATTGTAAGAATTTCGGATGAAATTTGGAGAGATTTTGAAGCTGCTATCTAACCTTTCTGTGCCACCTTTACCATAGTATATCTAATTTATCACAATGGTCCCTGAAGGAATAGATTTTAGACATGTCACTCTTTGATTGGTGTAGTCCAATGTCCAGATGGTATGCTATCCTGCAGGTATTGCATGTAAACCTCTGCCCTCTAATCTATGATAGCCAAAAAGGGAAAACACAGGAAGAATTATGTGTGGCTTCCATAACCCTGTCTGGGAAGAACTGAAATGAAACTGCCTGCTAGGGGCAAAAGCCTCCAAATAACTCAAAATTCAGGTAATATTTTAATGGTAAATCATGACCATTAAAAGTAGTTTCTCTGTAATGGAATTTACTATACCAAAAACACTATCAGCTTATAAGAATTGCATGGAGGTCAAATTCTGACCATATGACATTATATTGTCTGTAGGCATTTGTCCTGTTTAATCAGTGGAATGATTTTTTGTCAGTTGTCTGCTTTTAAATTTGGAGGAATTAAAAAAATAGAAGCACTGTGACTGTCACAGCACTGAGTGCAATTCATACTGAGAAGCCTACAGATCTGCTTTAGAATGTAGTTGTTTAAATAAATTTGGAGATATTTCAGTCACCATTTTCCATTGCAGTGAAAGTTAAGATTTTGTGCCCTACACAAAACAGAGTACAGTTGAAACAAATGAGGAGTTTTTCTGTTTGTTAGAATAAAAAGATTTTAAATATAATATATTTTGTTTAAAGGGTCAGAAAGGAGAAATAGGAATGCCAGGTGCAAAGGGTGAAAAGGTAAGTTAATTCATTATTTCTGTGCTTCTGTGTCATGCTAGAAAGTGTCTGAATGCATGGATCAAATCTTGGAGAATGTACTCAATGTCAAGAGATGATTATTTAGGCTTAGGAAAAGATGTCAGCTTCTGAATGCCCTTAGTAATTTTCTCAAGTTTTACCTTGAGAAAATATTTACACATGCAAGTAAGCTTCACTGTTGCAACAGCTCACAACAGTCCTAATTTTGCTATTCAGTAACATCTTCTGTTCAATAACATCTTATTTCAGCTGAGGTTTTCAAAGTGTTTTTACTGAGGAATAGATGTGTATAGATGTGTATCACAGAAACAATTGCAGTCCATGTATTTGTATTTTGTATATTTTATATAGGTTAAAAAACAGACACACCTGCACTGTTTACTGATTGAAAATAACCCTGTGTTATCAATTCCTTTATGTTTTTCATAGGGAGAAAAGGGTTACAAGGGAGATCCAGTGAGTATAACTACACTTTTAACTGTCTATGGGAATGATGTACATTTCATGTGGGTTTTTTTCTTTTTTCTTTTTTTTTTTTTTTTTTGTATGATGTTCACATAGCAATTCTGTTATTTGTATACTTCCATTAGATTCAGTGATTTTGTATCATAGCATGTTTACCATTTCCTTACACATGCATCAAATTCAAACCAGTTATAAATAAAACATTGAGATGTGGCACAGTACCCAGTTTTTCACCATTTCTGTTGAGACAGATGGATTGTCAGTTGTTACTGTCCCTGAGCTGAGCTTAAACTACACAGTTTTTTTTGTTCCCTGAAGCTTTTTTTTCTCTCTTCCATTTATTTCACAAAACTATGTGTGGGCCATTATTTTAATGGTTCCCATAGTGTAGCATTTAACAGTGGGAGTACTTTTATAGCCATTTTATGTGTTCATAATTTCTCACTATTTGGGGATGTTATTTTAAGAACACTTATTCTTTAAGTGACTGTTTACATGTGTTGCTTTTTTAAATTAACTATCGTCCTCTCTTGTGACATTGGGTAGAAGCTTGTTATATTTTTTCGTACACAACTGAAGGTTGCTTAGATACTTCTGATAAACATATTATAATAACCAAAATAAGGCACCCTGTAATCATGCATTGTTTTGGAGATGAATGTTATGTCACAAGTAGTGATTTATTAGGAAAAAATAAGCTTTAGACTGGAGAAGATCTCAAGCAAACAATTCAAGCAATTGTTCTTGAAACCTCTAGCAAAACCTGCCGGCAGAATTAGTTTGAAAGAGGAAAGTTTCCACAAGGCATCAGAAATTCTTTAATTCTCTTCTCAATAATTCTTAAGTTTGCAACTGTAGTATTTTATGGTAGAGAATTGAATTATTATTTGATCTTAGTTTAAGTTTCAACTTCTTATGTTCATATTTGCTGTTTTCAGGGAGAAATTGGAATGGAGGGATCTAAAGGAAATAAGGTATTTTTTTTTACTAGTACGTGCTGTATACATTTCTAGTATACGTATCTGGTTCTGAGAGATGTCACAATAAAGCTGTTATTTTCTCAAAAAATATCATTAGGGTGAAATGGGTGACCCTGGACCACCCGGTCTCATGGGAAATCCAGGATCTAAGGTATGTAAAAAGTATCTTTGTAGAATTAACATAGTAACTCCAGACTTTGTTGTATGCTGTGTATGAATTTCATTATATGCTGATACCCAAGCTCCCTAGATCATCAAAAAGCATCACAGGTGATGTAGATGTGAATCCACAGACCTGTAGCCCCCTGCAGTCATAAAAATGTTTCTCTACTAAGTAAACTCCTTACACTGGAGTATAAGCATAAATAATAATAAGTATATGCATTATAAGTGACAAAACAAGCTGAAGTCTTCCCAGAAAACATAGATATAGAAGTGTTTTTTTAATTATGTGGCAGATGCTCATTCTCTTCTCAGAAAAGAGCTAATGAGACAGACTAGAGCACTAAAAGACTCCAGAATATAGGAAAAAATGGGTATGCAAAGCAGAGATAAAAAGATGACTTGATGCAAACCCTCATGATCCTTTGGATCTCTACAAGCCTCTTTCCAGATGGTATAAAATATGATGGTGACCTGGATTTCCATAGCAGTAACAAGTTATTTCAGTAGCCTGTATCTGAAAGTACACATTAACTTCCAAAGGGATGACTTTTATCTCAAGTGTGCACAATATCATCTTACAGGGACTGCAAGGACCTCCAGGACCTATAGGACCCAGAGGAGAGCCTGGAGAAGTTGTATGTATTGTGTAATTTCATCAAACTGTATAAGTGTGGCATGTGAGCAGTTAGCTGGTCAAACACACACTATAGGTCCACCTCTCTTGAGTGGCACTACAGAAATCAGCTGTCAAAGCACAGTGAGGTTCTGCGCCTCAGCATAAAGTTCTGTGATTTGCTTATGTTCTTTCTGTCCTCGTGTTACTGTCTGCATGAGTATGTGAGAGTGGTGATACTATTTTTTTTTGTTTTTTTTAGTTGACAGTTAATTAACTCTACAAAAATTTCTCTTACCTCACAAGATTAGGTGAAAACTGAGAATCTCTGGCAAAGTGTAAAAAGTGTTGTAACCATGAGCTGAAAAAACAGTGTGTGGAGCAAAATGAGAATAAATAGGGAAAATAAGAGTATTCCAAGGATTAAAGCATATTGTGTTCCTTATTTTTTCTGTCTATATTTTCCAAATATCCTGATTTGATTTATTTCTCATTAAAAAAAAAAAATGAGCAAAGATTAATAAGAGGAACAGAATAAAAAAAATGTGTTTATTGTCTTAACATTTAGGCCAAATTTATGAGTGAAACTCATTCAGAACCACACTCATCCTTTACCTAATTCTTTTAAAACGTGAGCAGCATTAAATCTTTAAACAGAGTAGAAATATTACTTGGGAAGAAATTAACAGAAAACTCTTTTATTGAATTACTGTTAAATTACTAAAATACTCTGTAGAGAATGGAAAAAAAAAAGATTAATTTTAAGATTGTCAATTGGTATTCCAAATGAAATGTATAGAGAATTGCTGACAGTCAGAAAGAACTGAAAGCCATTTATGGCTGCTGTTGGTAAAAAATAGCTTAAATAGGGAACACTGACAGGTGGCAGATAGTACGCGTGCTTGTATGCATGTGACAGTGTCAAAACCTGAACCTCTCAAATCACAAAGGTACAGCTTGCGCAATGCAATGGTAGGATCTGCTTTTAAATTCTAATAGCACCTGTACTAAACAGAGGTGACACAAATGGGTTCTTCAGTTAATAGAGACATAAGAGAGACTCACCAGTGTGGAGACTGATCATCAGTTGCACACGTAAATACTACTTGGACAGAAACAATCAAGAGGTGAGAGTACCAGGAAGAAGAAGTGGTGTCAAAAAAGAAGAGCTCCTGAGAAGAGCTGTGCTCAGATGGAAGATCTTGGCTAGAATAATGGTTCTAGAAACCAGTGAATGCTGTGGAGATCAGAGAGATGCATGGAAACATTTGCTAGCAAACACTCAGGGAACTTAGCCACTAGGACTGGTAATGAAGGCAACTTGCTTCCCAACCACCTTGAATGAACAGCATTCTCCTTGATGGAAAGGAAGGTCAACAACTAATGAATGTAACACTGACAGAGGAACAAGTGAGTGAGAGTGTGAAATAATCAAGGACAAAAGCTCTCATCTCAGCCATACTTAAACCCCAATATCCAGATTCACTACAAGCTGTCAAGTGATGGCACAAGCAGGATGCAGACATTTTGAACCATGAGATCAAAGCCTGTGGAATCCCCCAAGAGGAGTGATGTGTACATGTACGTGGACACCATGTCTGCTCTACAATCAATAAATTTAAACTTGCATATATTTTTTTAGTGATTTGGTATAAGCAGAGTGTTCTTCAGGTATCTTTTTTTTTCTTTTAGTTTAAAAGACTGGTTGTAACAAATAGCTGTCTATATTAAGGACAGAATACAACAGAGAGAGTGAACACAGCTGTTGAATCCTCATTGTTGACACAGATATGTCATCTTACTTCATATACAGATGTTTATAAATCTATGTTTTCCACTGTGAAAACAGTAAAAGCAATATGTATTTCTGTGTCTTTCTCAGAAAGGTGGTTTTTCGTTTGCATTTAAACACCGTTCTTAGATGTGACTATTTGATTTCATCAGTTTTTGACATTTACTATGGAAATAAAAAAGTTTGACAACAATAGTTGGCAACAATAGTTGGCTGAATAAAGTAGAAGAGTTATGACAGAAGTTTCCTGTATATATTCAAGCATAGTAAGAGAATCAGCTATTCATTTAACCTTCCAAAGTATTCAAATAGTTTCTGTTTGTTTTATTTTATCTCATTTCACTATATTTATAAGAAATCTTTCATAAAAGGGCAACAGAAGATACTGAAGTTAAAATGTGAAAAGTCGCGAGAAGATTTAGAAATTACAAAAGAATATGCAGGATTAATTTACTGAAGCTTTTAAGAGATAAGAATGCATCATGAACTACACATTTCTTCATGGTTGAAAAAGATAAGACCCATCTGTTACTTAAAACTCAAGTTGGTATCTACAACCAGCTCACTTGAAAAAAAGTTTGGTTTCCAAGACATGGGAACATTTTGAAATGAATGTAAAAGGAAAAAAAAAGCCTTTGCAGTTTTGTCCTGAAAGGGTCCAGGAAATAATGTTGATTATTAAATATTGATCTAGAGAAGAAATGACTCAGAAATTTTCTTAATGACGCATTATTTAATTAGCACTCTTCAGCATTATGGGTCAGTACTTATGTACAGTGAATAATCATTTTCATCTGTAATTTTAGATTTAAAGAGAATAGATATAAAAATGATTTATTTTATTAATGTATATACACTGGAATATTTTATCATTTTTATTATTATTGTATTAATTCCAGGGCTTACCAGGAGAGCACGGGTTACCAGGAATGCCCGGAGTTAAAGGAGAAAAGGTATATTCTAACTGTTCTTAATTAAGATTGGTATAGTAGAGGCTATTAGACTGTCTTGTGAAGACTGTTTCAGTTCATCTGTAGTGCATCTATGCAGCAGCTTTAAGAATTGATTTAGAAGTGTACAAGAAGCAATTGCCGTCTCCATGGTTATATTGCAGGCCAGTTTGTCAACCCAATTGCTCTTCAGAGTCATAATTTAAGTATTATTTCCAGGGAGGTTAAGTTGGACTCTTACAATAAAAATGTGCCATGCAGAAATACCAGTGTAAGTTCTGACAATAGGATACCCTCTCAGTGTTGTGCCCTAACGAGGCTAATGTCTAAAATCATGCTTCATGGCCAGACTTATTCATCATGGCAGAGCACTGAGGCAGACCTGAGCCAAGTCTGGGATCTCTTTATGGCATTGTATTGTGCTGGTAGACAGCCTCTTGGTTGGAATTCAGCTTCATCAACAAGAATTATGTGTGTATATGCTGTGTGTAGGGAGGGGGAGAAAAGATACTGTACAGGCACACTGTGAGCTATGTGAGGTGTTATGATATTTATACATCTTGGGATACAGAGGAAATTAATAAAATCATTTAACAGCTTCAAAAAAAAAAAAAAAAAGCACAATGAAAAGGCAGAAGGGAAAATAATTGTGGAATAACAAGCAAAATCTTTCAAAATGGGAAGTAGTGGAATCAGAAAGAACCACAGACAATTATGCAGCAGCATGGACAACATAATAAAGGGCACAGAAAATGAGAAGTTCGAACAGGAGAGCAGTGAAGAGGGACAGAGAAAGATGGAGTGAGTCTGACATTCCTACACTGGAAGAATCGTCAGGGCTTAGTGACAACTTGCATTTTGGAGAGCTGGGGACATGAGAAATGTAGATCAGATAAATTACAAGCATGGAAAATTGAGAAAATGTGGTTAATATTATGGGTGCTATGGTCTATGCCTCTTTTTCTGTAATTTTTTGAAGGAAATATATTTTTGATAGAAAATTGAAGCTTTAAATATATTTTCCATACATGTATGGAAGACTTTCAGAAGTTTGTTGATAGCTATGAATAATGCACTCGGACAACAAAGCACAGGATTTTCCTACCTCCTGAGAGCTGAGTTCTTATAGATGCACGTTTCTTATAGATGCAGGGAGCAGAACCTCTGTGGAATTAAACGTGATAAATTTGATCAATCTATGGAAATGATTTTTGTTTATGAAATGCAGGGCTGCATAAAGCTTTGCAAATTTTCTTTCTCAGTTCTTTCTCAAAGTACTGGTGCATTCTAGGATAATCTTGATAATTTTGAGTCATGATTCATATTTATCTTGTAGGGTGACCCTGGTGGGATCATGGGACCTCCTGGACACCCAGGTCCAAAAGGTGAGGTGGGGCCTCCTGGACCAAGTCTGCCTGGAAGACCAGTAAGTCTGTGATTTGAAAAAGTTTTTGTGGCTTTATTTCTTGTGGGGATAACTGTTAAAGAATTTTCATTGTGCAGTGAAAGCAATGCAGTAAGAACAAGTAATTTTCAGATGTGATTTCAAACTTGAAATATATATTATAGTGTTATTGTAAGTACATTAAAATAGTATTGTTAGTGGAAGACCTACAAGGGATCCTAGTGACAGCACTATTAACAAGGAAGGCATATGTAAATCTACCATAGTTTACTCATAAAGGCTGACTAGTTTTGGCAAGAAAATTCACCTGGTCTCTTTCATTTCAAAACATAATTTGTGTTTTCTTGTTTTTCTTGCTGTGTTGCTGTTGTTTTTTTTTTTCCCTAGGGTTCCGCTGGTATTCCTGGAAACCCAGGTCCACGAGGACCAAAGGTATAAAAAGTTACTACTGTTTCTGTAAACACAGGATAATAAACCAGTTTGCATTTTCCGACCTGTTTTAACTGAAAGCCTTGTAACCTTCGTAGGGAGAAAGAGGACTGCCTGGTCTACAAGGAGCCCCTGGAGAGATAGGGCCTCCTGGAATAGGCATTCAGGGATCACCAGTAAGTATACCAGTGCCCAGAATTTGGGTTCTCACTGTGCATCACTGAGAAACTGTAATATGAACTCCATTCTGACTCAATTCACAGCTCAGCAACTTTTCCCTTTATCTAGACCTACACAAATCTAGTGCGCACTGAAAAGAGTAAGTCTAAAGGAATGAGAGAATCAATGGCTATATTACTGGCAAACCAGTAATGATGTTGACACACCTTCGGACTAATTGTGTTTGTTTCTAAGCAGCTGTAGGTTGCAGTTGTCAGCAAAGTCCAGAGTGAGTAGAGGTACAAGAAAAAAGGTTTATTCTACACTGCACATGATGGCATTTTGAAACCCATGCCAGTACTGGAAGAGGCAAATACACATGGAAAAGATGTGGGAGGCTTTACATCAGCTCTTTCAAGCTTTGGCACTTGTGATAACTGCTAATTACAAGCTTAAATCTACTGTTTATAAACAAGAACCTTACAGTGTCCAGACACTGTGTCAGGAAATAGTGACGTTCTCATATTGAACAGCCTTCATGCATCTCTATGCAGTTTAAATTCAAATATGAAACAAGTTGGTATCTAAGTAATTCAAACTAAATAAAACTTGTAATAACTGTTTCAAGTATTTAGTTTGTTTCTCGATTTTCTTTCTTTCTAGTGCCTTTAAGTAATATAGCATCTACACTGTCTGTGGATTGTTTAATAAAAAAAGTACTCATAGAGATTGAAGGTGTTATTGCATGAGTTCTACTGTGGTGAATTGGGTAATCTCTCATCAGACTAGGCCAGTATATTCAAGCAGGACATTTCAGTTTATTAGCAGGACTCAGAGAGGAGAAGTTTGAGAAAAGAGATTGGAGATATATGCTGAAATTTGAATTTAAATATAATTTAAAATAATTTATTCAGATACATATTTTCATTCTCAATTACGTTTAAATAATTTAATTATTTTTTACTCAACAGCTTTTTATCTTATGAATTGCTGAAAACACATTTTACCACAGATCATTCTTATTTGCCATTACTTGCCCTTAAAATCATACCTCAGAAAAATCGTGATCTCTGTAATTTAGGTAAAATTAGATCTGTATTTAAAACCAAACCTTACAACCAGTGTTTCTTGCAATGTGAACTGAGCCATTATCCTATACTGAGTGTATTTTTTAATCAGCTTTATCTCCCTTGTCCCAGAAAGGGTAGGTACTGATTATTTATTATTTGGTGTTTTCTTGTAGGGTCCTATAGGGCCAACTGGATCTACAGGCATCCAGGTAGGATACACACTTTCTCTTTAACATGAAAGCAAAACAAAACAAAGCCATTACTTTAAAGAGATTTGCAGTAAAAGGAGAGTGTTCTTAAATCTTAAAAGACTGTTCCTTCTTTCAGGGCCCTAGAGGGCCTCCAGGATTACCAGGAACTCCAGGTACCCCCGGTATTAATGTAAGTACCTGTCTATGTGCAGTAAAAAGTAATTTTTCCCCCTGTCAGTGATTTAAGGCTGCCACATTTTCAATTTATTTCTAGGGCACTCCAGGAAGAGATGGAAAGCCAGGACTACCAGGCCCTCCAGGCGATCCAGTATGTATATGTGGAAAGCTTGTATAGTTGCTTTGGTGAGAATATTTTAATTTTAAAGGAGATAACCGGGTAAAGCCTGAAAGTCCAATTTGTTAAATTAATTTGATTAATTTAGGATTATATCTGTTGTTGTTGTTGTTTCACATGGTTTTATTGCTGTATAAATTACTGTTATGTTGACTTCAAAGGGATAAATGCCTTGTTTCGGGTCTTATGTGAATGTTTGTATACTAGCACTTCTGCTAGGCTATAACTTGGCACCATGTTCCTCAGCCTCAGATGCTTATAATGCAAATTTTCGGAAGCAGACCTTGATAAATTCCTTTGAAAGAGTGGGAAAGAAGGGAGTTTTGTATTCTGCAGTTAATTTTGCTATGCCACAGAAGGAAGATAATAATTTTCAAAGAAATTCTGAGATGTCAGTCTTTCATGTGATAAATTCCCTCTAACAATAATGAAAAAGTGAGTTTTAGGGGAAAAAATGTTCTGATCCTTCGATATATTTTAGATATTTGTCTCCTCTTGGATATAATATGCACCAGTGTTACAGCTTTATGATTTTGTGAAGTCTAACACTGCAAGATCCAAAAGATCTACAAATGCCTCAGGCCAAATAGCACCATTAGAGATTAGTTAGTATTATACACGGGAGACAAGAGAGTCCCATGTGCACGTTTGCTAAGTTTGCAAATGAAGACTCTTTATTCCTGTTCCTATCTTGAGCCCTCACAGCTACGTTAGAGCTTTCAAAAAACAAACTTTGCTAGAAACAAATGCTTGCTGAAGCTTTTATAATGCCAAATGTTTTCCAGTTTTCCTGAGCTATTTTTAGAATATATTCCATTAGCAGAATAAAAGCCACATTTAGTTGGAAGAAACCAAAACTAGAGCTTAATATTTAAAGAAGATTACTAAACTCACTTGTGATCTTGGTTTAGTATTTAGTTAAGTACACAATTTAAAAAAAAAATAAATAAAACTAAAACAGTGATGTTCAGTGATAATAATGCTTTTATATATATATATGTGTGTGTGTGTGTGTGTGTATATAAAAGAAAATAAAACTTCACACAAGAATATTTGCCCTTTGGCAAAATCTCCTTTCTTTGCCAAGGCATGAATTTGGCCTTCTCACTGAATTAAAGGCAGTGGCCTCAGTCTGTTTGTGGCTTGAGGTAACAGTTCTTCATATACCTGACTATCGCACGTATTCTTCAGATGCAGAGACTTACTTTATGTCTTAGGAATGATTTACATCTCCAAGTGTTCAGTCATGCAAATCTCATGCAGGGATTTCCAAGCTGGTCTGCAGACTACTGACAGCCTGTGAAGAGCTGAGAGCTTTTAACAGCTGCAGGAATGCATTAGGCAGTAAAATAAATGATACTTTCAATTAAACATTTGATGGTACAGATGCACAGCAGTCCACAAGTATGCCTAAGAACTGAGAGCAAGGAGCTTATTGAAGAGTAAACCAGTCACAAAATCACACAAAGATTTTGTCTCAGAGAGAAAAGCTTTCTAAAAAATAAATAAATAGCTAGACTGGGAATCTAGCCATTATGCATACTTTGATCATCTGGGCTGGTCAATGCAACAAGCCTTTTCTGGTTGTATGATACAGTTTTGACTACATGGCTGGACTATTCTCCCCATTTAAATCATGTCTGTAGCAGTCCTTGAGCATACAGCAGCAACAGTTCCAGTGCTTTAAAAGGCACTTGACAGCATCTGTAGCTCCCAGAGGACTAAGGTCATCAAGCAGAAGCAGGTTTTATACTAGCAGTGAGTACAGAAATAGAACTCAAGTCAGAAAGGTTGAGATATAAGTGATCTACTGCTAGGAATGGATGTAAAACCAAGAAACATGCACTCTGAATGCAATTATTAGAACAACGTGTCCAGTCTTATAATTAATAATCAAGGAGATCAAATTACAGACTCTGCAGACAAAGCCAAGTAATTCAGTGGTTTTTCACTGTCCACTGAAAAAAAAACCCTGTGTTTTGGAAAATACATTATATTAATTTTAGTTAATTTAATAGAAAAAAGAGCTAAAGATTTTTAGTTACAGCATGAATAGTTGGTGAAATTCACCTGAGGGATGAACAAAGAAGTCTCTAAATGATTAGCAGTTACCTTTGAGTATTTTGTGAAAGATGGGGCTTTTGAGGAATGGAGAGATGTGAACAGAGAGCATATTTTCATTAAAGGAGAGAGAGGAACCTACGTATAATAGATAAGTTGAAACAAGCTTGATTGCTTTAGTAATATATATATATTTAATTCTAAATACTAATAAGAACAATTACACGGAAATACAAGAATGCTGGCATTATTTTGTTAAGAATCAATCATGGAATAAATCATATTTCCGTTTCTGAAATGTTAACTTGCTTGGGAGGGATGGGGAAATAGTGCTGTTATGTATCTTGATTTGCTTAAAACTTTGAAACTGTCCTCATGATGTTTTCATATGCAAGCAAAAAATGCTCTGGAAGTAACTGCCATATAGTTAGTGCTTATCAAAAATATAGATATAAGTGTCTAGCAGCAGACATTTGTAGAACTCTGAAAGAGAGATCTCTCCCATGCATGGTTCTTTTCAATGTTTTAGTTCTATTTGGATAAGTGGATACAAACTGCCATTGAACTGGAAAAGATTGCTTAGGTTTTTGTAGATAAAACCATTGTCTAAAATTCAGAGACATTCTGAAGTCAACAAGATGAAACTTGAGACAATGAGTATAAAGCGCTTAATATGAAAAGCAAAATCCATAAATTGAATAGGTTTTGGAAGGCGCAGTGTGCTGTAAACTAAAGGTAAGTAAAAAATGTGATGCCACTACTAAGCAACAGATCTGAATGCTAAAACATGCTAATGGCATTTATTACTCTTGGAATACTCTTTTCTTTGAAGGGTACATTTTTTTCAAGGAAGATGTAGCAACCAGGAGTAAGGCTGGAAAATGAAGGCCATTTTAACATTTTTGAAAGCCCAGGATGTATCATGCACTCATTCAGAGATGCACATATGCAGCTGTGACTTTACATTATGTGTGCGGTTACACTGGACTTGCTATATTCACAGAGCACATGAGCTGTATGTCACAAGTGCAGTAGACTTAGTCTCTTAACTGTGTGCCCTGGCAACTGAACTTTAGGACCCTGTCAAACTGCATGTCTTGGGTCCTGTGTCTTAAAACAGTACAGAAGTTAAAGCAGTTGTTCTCTGCATGCTTTCAAATGGGGTAAATAGTCTATTCCTGATTATAGTTAAATTGGGTATGTTCAGCAGTTCTTGTCCTGAACTGATGTTTGATTCCCATAGCAGAACAACAGCAGTAACAAATTTTGAATGTGTCTAATTTTATCATATGCCCAGGGCTATTTTTGTTTTAGCACTTGCGAGAAGAAATGAGAACCGATAATTGAAGTCTGTGAGCAATCGGCTCAATCAGATTTTATAGGAAGTCTTTAAATGTAAGTCTAATAACAGCACTTGGAAATCGGAGGATACAGACATATTGCAGCATAGTGTTTACCTATTGATTGAGATTTAAATGTGTTATCTTTAGTATTGTTAGTGATTTGGTTGTGGCATCACAGACTCTTGCACTGGTTCTTAACGTTTAAAGGCAGGACAAAAATTTACCTATGTTGCTTATGTTACTGTAGCTGGATTATTTCCAGTACCTGAGCTAATTTAATGAAGTTAGCTTTGGCATCTTTACAGTTCAGAATTTAGTTCAGATTAGAGTCAAAGCCTAGGAGGAAGCAGAAGGAAAACACTGAAAATAATAGGTGACAAAAGGCTGTGAGAATTTCCAGTGAGGATGATTTGTTGTTGGTATGCTATAAAGACAATTACATATTATGACTTGAAAATAGAATTTAGTGGTTTTTGGACAAGTGTTGTGTCAACTTTGTTCAAACTGCAAGAAAAAATTACATTGGTAGATTGGATTGACAGTGATATTTAACATTTTAAAACTATGTGGAATGCCCTGATTTTTAGAGTCGTCACTGAAAAAATTATCTCAGCCAGTGTGTATGTAATCAGCTATATGATTTGCCATATCAACTTTTGGAAAAATCAGCACCTATTTGAATTGGTAACATTGTGTAAAAGATTAACTGCAAGTGTTTCTTGTAATTTCAGATTGCATTGCCACTAGTGGGAGACATGGGTACTATACTGAAGGTAAACTTTTTCAGAGGTTATAAAATGAAATATAGAATCATAACATGGTTTTGGTTGGAAGAGACCTTAGAGATCAGCAAGCTTCACCCCTCCTTTCTGTGGGAAGGGTTGTTAGCCACCAGATTAGGCTGCCCAGGGCCCCATCCTATCTAGCCTTGAATTCTTCCAGGAATGGGGCATCCACAGTTTCTCTGGGCAACCTGTTCTAGTGCCTCTTCAACAAAAGCTTTTTCTTTGTGTTCAGTCTACATCAATCTGCTTTCAGTTGTAAAAACAATAGTAGAACACCTCATTTTCAATTTCTGAAAATGTACTGGTGTTTCTTTTTGAAAGAAATAGTGTTACTGTTTCATGAAACTGATTTAGACTGGAAAGTTAAGGATTAGCAATAACAATAATTATGTTAACTTACTGTAAATTTGATTTCCTTTTCCTGCATCTCTATGGTCTCACCAAGAGCTTTGGAAACAGTTTAACTAAAATTCTGCATTCAAACATTATTGAATTAGTGAACTTTAATCGGCCTCCATGAGAATGAATGGAAGAGTCACCTATGGATGGTAACAAAGGCAGGAAAGCGTGGTTGCAAAGATCAGATCTTCTGACCCTGTCACTATCATGCTTATTTATCACTTTGCCTTGTGTCTGTTCCTTAGGGTGATCCAGGCACAAGAGGTCCTCCAGGCATCCCTGGTAGAGAAGGACCAAAGGTTAGTTTTTGAAGAGCTTATTTTACTCTGCTTTGTTGTTAAAAATCAAAAGCCAGATTTTTCTATCAGAGAAGTCTTAAATTTTTTTGTCTGATCCCTGTTTTTGTAGCATCTGAGCAGCTTAAAGGTTCAGGCAGTTTTTGCAGTTTAGTCCTCTTCCTGTCTTAGTGTGCCCTTTCTCTCTGGGAATTGAGCTAAACAGCTTGGGAACTAAGTCCCAAGCCAGTGTAACTTTCTGTGGCTTGATAGTTAAACTTAGCTCAGATTTAATTGTCCAGTAGTGCATTGCCATCTATTGGCTTAAGTGAGTCAGTCATGCAGGAATCTTGCAGTAAAGAAGGAAACTTCTCTCTCAAGTGTGTAACAACCAGATCCGTGCCGTTGCAAATTATTCCCTGTTGGACTAACTCAGCAGTTTCACTGGGACTTGAACTTTCACTGATGTCAATCAAAATTCTCTTTTGCTGTAATCTGATAAAATATCTCATGGCATGGAAAATTAATTTCCTACAGTAGAACTTAATTAATTGAAAGTATACATCCTCCCTGTGGGCAAGCATTTAAACCCTTTAGTATTTGTAAGACAAGACTATATCTCCATTAGTCTTTTTATGCCAATTTGCCTATCAGGTAAAAAATACTACTTTCTTTTCACCTTAGTGGGAATCCATTTTAAGACTCATGGGTAGTATTGAGCTTTGTTTTTTTCTTGTTTTAGTCACTTTATGTTTGTACTCGTATATATTAAATGTAGGTCATAAAATTTCATGCTCTCCTTAGCATGAAATTCATTGTTTTCTAATAGAAAACATTTGTGTGAATGTTGTTTTCATAGGGAAGCAAAGGTGAACGTGGATTTCCTGGACTTGCTGGAGAGAAGGGTGATGAGGTAAAATTACTTCATTTATGTAGCCAATACACTATTATGTGAATCTAGACCAAGAGGAAAGTGCATAGAATATTAAACTGCTTATTTAAAACTGCTGGGATAATAATGTATTACTGCAGATAGCCCTTGAATCTAAGTTTTCAACAAGATTAAGCACTATTATTAAAATAAGTAAAATCTATTTCATATTTGTATAAAGGTTTTTGCACATTTATATATTTTAATGCCTTGCATAAATCTAAATGCTAATTTTTAAGAGTATGAGATAAAGCAATAAAAAGGTAAATGCCAAGCATTTTCACAAAATATTTAATTTTATAAGGTATTTGCTTTGATTCTGTTACTTCCTATTTAGCATTCACTTTGAGAAATATTCTGTAAGGCAAATAGTTTGATGGGAATAGTCATTTCAGCAGTTACTATTAAGTGGAAATAAAATATTTGAATTTAAAGTACATACAGTATTTTCCATTATATACTATTGGGTGGAGCTTACTTCTCCCTATGGATTATAAAGGGAATCAAGAGCGATTAGCTTAGATATATATACATGACTGTCATATAGCTAAAATTTCATCTGACTAAGCCCAGTGGATCAGAGGAAAGTATACTGCAATGCACAGACTTGTCTGAAATCCTCGTGTATACTTATATTGTTTATATTCCAAAAAATATCGATATCCTGGTAGATGAAAATGTGCTTCATTGTTGTTGTAACAGTGATGGACGTGCTAAATATAAGTCATTTTTTGAGGCTATAACATGGGAGAGGAAATTGACATGTGCACCTCTATTTTCAGGGCCTTCAAGGTGTTCCTGGACTGCCTGGTGTACCAGGACCCAGTGGACCGTCTGTAAGCGTGTGGTATTATTTGTTGCCTAATTTCTCTCTACAAAGGTTGCTATAATTACATATCAAAACTTCTTATTCTTATCTTCTTGCACCTCCTTTTGGCTTTTAGGAGAGTGACAATGAAATCTTACCTGCAGTGGCTGTATTAAAATAAATTATGTTGTGAGTTGATGTCTCCAAAAATACTATCATTGTCTGGATTCAAAGTTTATGTGACCCAAATGCTTTCAGTGTTTTGACCTTACTAGAGACTTCATGAATTTGAAAGACATGATGGACAAACTAGCAGCTAATTAATTATTTATACCCTAGTTACTGTAATAGTGTTATTAATAAAAATCTAAAAAATATTTCTAACTGGGCATTCTCAAAGCATTAAATGCAGAAACCAAATCATTATAAAGTCTTGAGAATACATTAACTTACTATTTGAAGTCACTGAAAAACTAATCCTGAAAAATACTGGTATTTTGGAGAAAACCTCTCTTGGGATTTTTTTTTTTTTTTATTTTCTACTTGCACAATGAGACTGTTTTAGTTAGTGTGATCATTGCTTAATGCTGGGTTGTTGACAGTACTAATGCTTCCCTAATTGCAACACATTATGGAAGCTTAATGTGGAATACATAAATTAACATTTTAGCAAAAAAACATGATCCTTCACAGTATCAAGAGTTACCATTTAGGGGCAGAGCATTTAGTCTGTACAAGGTGAAAATACAACCACAAACACAAGTTTTACCCTTCACAGAGCTTATCAGTAGAACACAGCTTTTGCATCAGACAGAGAAGAGAAATATTGAAACCTGGAGGAAAAGTGTAACTAGTTTTAAATGACCTTCAGAAAGTACAAGTTTTAAAAACTAAGGTACAGTGCAAATTGCAGTTTTGTGATGTTTTTTAACTAATACAAACTGATACTGTATTGTGCAGGGAGCCATGGGAAGACCTGGGCATCCTGGTCCTGCTGGGTCAAAAGGCGAAAAGGTATTCCTTCTTTTTAGTTCTGATAAAGATCTGTGTAGGTTTTGTGATCCTTTCACCATGCTTTGGGTTTTGGTTTGTTGTTGTGTTTTTGATATTTTTTTAACACAATGCAGACATGACTTTGACATTTTCAAATGAATTTTTATTTCTTGTCTTGGATTACAAATACTTTCTCCAAACAAACATACAGGCTTCTATTTTGAAGAATAAACCTTGGGTATATATGAGTTTCAGGGAATGTTTTCTAACTGTAATATGCTATATAAAATTAAGAAATTGAAAAAAAAACATTGTCAAGTAGTGTATTATGAATTACTACTTGCTCTACTTCTCATTCTTTTTCCAGCGTATTAGTCAAACTTAAAGGCATACTTAAATGTTCTTCAAAAGCTGGAAGTTACTCAATACAGATATTCTGCAAAAGTATTAAAGCTTCCTTTATAACTAATTTACACTGTTATAGTACTGTTTTTTTATCAATTATATATATATTCTTTTATCAAGTGCTTCCATTATAACTAAAAGGTCAAATTAATTTCTTGGGCACCACAAGTCATTGACATGCAGCAGAAAAACTGATCTATCGAAACATATTTTGAGATATTTTTTTCATTTTTTACATGGATACATTTCTTATTTTTTTTTTCTTAGCTATGGCTCGGGCTTTTCCAGCCATAGTGCATGGACTGTGGTTATACTAATACTCTATAAAACTTTGAACTTGGTATGAATAAGAAAAGGAAATTGTACTTTGGAAAGCTATGAAATATCCTCAGCATAAAAATGAGTTGAGAACTGTCTCCTTCCTGGCCATGATAGAAATAATTTACCGAGGGTATTTCCTTTTTAAGTAATACACTGCAAAAAAAAAAAAAAAAAAACCCAAGGTTTTGTTCTTTTTGTGTTTACAATTTTAAAGTACTGAATAAAGTCTCTAGAAATGCAGTGTTTGATCAGCTTCTTGAAGCATGTACATCTCTATCATTGGCTGAGACCTAATCATAGCTGTTTTTTCATTATGCATCATAAAGCTTAGGGGAAGGCAGCCTCTTACTGCATTTGAGAATGAGAAAGTCAGTTCTCCATAACTAGTGTGCCACTGAGTGAAAAGGCCAGAAGTCAGATCATTTAAGAGCGATGAACTGAACCATAGCCAGGTTATGTACATTCTTCTTCCTTTATCTGAGGACCACATTTGAAAAGTTCTAAAATATTTTCTCTCTTAATGAAATACTATAAATCCTTCAATTTGTTGCTTGACATTTCAATCACAAGATGATTTGGAAATTATTTGAATATGATTGTAATTAAAAATGTATATTCTTGTGGTGAGTTAATCATTACTGTCATATGCTCAGCTTGACTTTCTCCACCTTAATAATTTTAAATTTGCAGCCTAAGTGTCTCAATGAAGAATGTTATTAAAATCCAATGAAGTGAATGAAAAACTTGGATAGACCTATTCCAAATGATACAGAATTATTAACTGAATCTTAGTGATGAAATTTTGAAAAGATCTTGCTTGGAAATTTTGACATTAAAATGTCTGTATTGCTCAAAGCACCCCCTATTCTTCTGGGGCAAAAACTAAGAAACTTTTTTTCCTGATGTAAGCAGTTCAGTGCATCTCAGCAAAACAGACTACAGCTACAGATAAGTGTTTTGAAGTAAAAGTCAAGAAGATATTCATTATAGCCCTTAATAAAGACCTTTCCTTTACCCAACATGTTTCTGAATAAACTTGTCTTTATCTGTGGATGATCAAATTGAGGATTGTCTTTAGCAAAACAATATTCAAAACATAAAATGAATTACAGCTTCTATCTATTGATTGCTTAGAAATTTATATGAATTTATATGAAGTATTTCACTACCCTATTGCCACTACTGTTTTGCCATGAGGAAGTTACTACGCGTAAAGCATCACTAACTAACAGAACAAGAGCCTAAATTTGCCTAAAGCTTAAGTAGGATGATTCATTCTTGATATTACCTAGTCCTACTGACTGTATCTCTTGTTTATTGTCATAATGGCCATCACAATTTGGGAATGGAATAAATCTGAACAACAGTTATATTAAATTAAAGTTATATACATCTCTCACTATGCTAGGGTAGTGAAGGCTCTCCAGGGAAGCCTGGACCACCTGGACCTCCGGTAAGAGATTTTGGCTTACATTTTCGTTATATGTTGGGAATGATATAAGTAAAATGAAATGCACAGGAAGGACGTGGAGCTCTTGGAGTGGGTCCAGAGGAGGACCACTAGGATGATCAGAGGGCTGGAGCACCTCTCCTTAGGGTAAGGGTTGAGGGAACTGGGCTTGTTTAGCTTGGAGAAGGCAACAGGGAGACCTCATTGTGGCCTTCCAGTACTTGAAGAGAGCATGTAAACAGGAGGGGGAATGACTGTTTACAAGGGTGGATAGTGATAGGACAAGGGGAATGGTTTTCAGCTGAGAAAGAGGAGGTTTAGTTTAGATATTAGGAGGAAGTTTTTTACACAGAGGGTGGTGACGCACTGGAACAGGCTGCCCAAGGAGGCTGTGGATGCCCCATCCCTGGAGGCATTCAAGGCCAGGCTGGACGTGGCTCTGGGCAGCCTGGTGTGGTGGTTGGTGACCCAGCACACAGCAGGGGGATTGAAAGTCAATGGTCATTGTAGTCCTTTTCAACCCAGGCCATTCTATGACTATGATTCTATGATATCAAGAAGTAGACTGTCTCTCTAAGACATATTAGTAGTGCAGGAAGACAGCAAAGTCTTATTGCAGAATAGTTCAGTATTCCTTTTTTTTTCTTGTGATTCATCATTAAATCCAAGTCACCAGTGCCATCTTAGAAATCTGGTCAAATGAATTATTCTAAAATCCTTGAACACTGAGGTTAATTTATTCACTTTGGATACCTGAGATCAGGTAACCCAGGGAAGTCCATGGAAGGCTTTAAACTGTAGATTAACTGGAACAGTACCTAACACAAAATTAATTCTGAAGAATTAATAACTGAATGATCTCACAATCCCTTATTTTAAATACAGCCTTAGAAATGTCATTCTTTACCATAATTCACAGAATGCTTTGTTTCTAGAATCTAGCTATACTCTAATGATTCTTACATACTCCAGTCTCAAATGCAGCCTACTTCTAGCCTGCAGTAGAAAAAAAAATCATTCACTTCTGCCCCAAATTTAACCCTAGAGCTGACTCTAGCTAAGAGGACTGTACATTTTTCAGTCCTTGCTTCTCTAAATTCAATCTGTATCTCATGAAAATTCTCTAGAGGAAGTGATGGTTTAGAACTCAGGACATACTCAAAAAATTGGTATAAGGATAGCAGGATACCAGGTTAAAAGTTGTAGCTAGTATGCAATGCAAGAATAACCAGCTAGATCTCTGACTTTCTGTTGTAGCACAAGTTTTCTGTATCTGCCAGGTTTTGTATATAAAAGAAGTTTGAGAGCAAAACTGAAGTAAAGCATACTGTATTAATTTGCATCATTAATTATGCATGAAAACTTTCTCATCCTGAAGTTCTTGAAAGTCTTGAAATATGTAAAGTTTTCAGAGCATCGGCTAAGTTAATTTATGCTGGAAACCTGTTTTAGGACTTTATTTTGAGTTTAAATGTCTGCCCTTTCCTTTTTGTTTTCATGTTTTCATTTTTGTACACAAGATTTGTAAACATTCGTAGAGGAAGAGTGGCTGGCACTCATATTTACTAAGTCCATTTTAAATATTAACTGGCTTGCATTTGAGAAAACATCTGGATATCTTTTGAGAGCAAGAATTCCACTCAATAATAAGTTGAACACACCTGCATAGTTTGAGCTTTTTGTGTACTAAAAATCATTGGGCCAAATGTGAGTTGGTAGTTCAACCACTGAATCACTCTTCTTAGTTCTTTACAGTCTTATCCATTTAACTAGAGTATTAAGCTAGATTTACCATTCAAGCCTTTATGTTCTCAAAACAGTTGAGGCAAACAATGAGATGCTTTCTACTTTTTAGTTTAACACAGATTTTTCAAATGAAAACAGTGCTGTCATTGCTTCTATCTGTTGACTAGTTATTATGTAAGAATGTTGGAATGGAATGTACACTGAGAATTTACAGTATCTGGTTTTATAACAAAACAAAAATAAAGTACCAAGCTTACATAGTTGTGCATCCTATGTTCTTACTTATTCATTTCTTATGAAATGTCTGGAAATGTGGAAAAATTGATTTAGAAACCACAGTTTTGCTGATGCATGGGGATTAAAACAGGGCAATGGTTCTGCCTCTGTGGTTTATAGTTGTGGTGCTTACTTGCTTTTTATGTTTTAAAGGGTGTGCCTTACAATGAAAGAAATGGAATGAGCAGCCTATATAAACTCCAGGTATTTCTGGTATTTCTTTCTTATATACATAGCTTTTCAATCAACACCTAATTTTGGTCCAACTCAACTTTTAAATTTGCTATTACAGGGAGGTGCAAGTGTTGCAAGTTATCCAGGTCCACCAGGACCTCCAGTAAGTATTTAATAGTAACTTAACTTCTGATATGTAATTAAAATAGTAACAGAGGGGTAACAGACATCTAACTGCATGTAGTTTTGATGAGTACCATGGAACTGGATTTTATATGTAAGAGGTAGAAATTATAACTCATCTAGGAAATGATGTAATAAATGTAATAAATAGTAACATATATAAATGTAATTGTATGTGTTGATCAAACATTTTAGGCTGGGAGAGTAGCTTATTTTGATTTAAATATTTCACTCTAAAGCTGTGCTGAATATTAAGTAAAGTCTGCAAAAACAGTGCATAACTTGGTATTGGGCTTGACTGAAAGTATCTTAATGTCCTAAACTGCACAATATACTCCTTATAGTTAGTGATGATCTTGCTATGGATTAAATTATGTGCTGCAAATTAGAAACTCATGAATTCTCAATTCTGTCACTGATTCCTTGCCTATAGCTACAGTGTAGGACGATAGGTGAATATGGCAGCAGTACAGAGATTGTGTCTTCCCAGGCAGTATGCTGCCCTGTGCAGATATCTCGGCTTGTTTTGGTTCTTTGAAGCCCAAGGTGTGCTGTACTTATTTAAGTCCTCTTTCTTACTAGTCATAAGCAAGTTCTGCTGTTTTAAGGCAGAATTAATATGCTGAGAGGACTGGACTAAATACTGATTGTAAATGCACTGCACTGCCAATTTATATTTATAATGTATTAATATAGAAGAAAATACTATGTCACTGTGTAGTTCTCTAAATGTATGTCTGCTTCTTGTTTGTTTTGCAGGGTCCAAAAGGAGATCCTGGCACCGTGGTACGTACTTTTTGGTCATAATAGAGATTGCCTAAGTACAATTCCCCTTGATTTATTGATGAAGATCAGGAAACCCTGTGAAGTATTGGACAGATCCTTTTTTAAGAAAAATCATGTCCTTTTCACCAACGTGAGAAAACAGCTATGTCTGCTATTAATGAAAGAAGTGACATCTTCAAGTAAAACATCTACAGTTCCTTAGGGCTTTTAGAAGTTCATTCAGCCACTAAGATGCTGACTCTTTACCTCTCCAGCTGTTGTCCTGCCTTGAGGTTGTCACTCCTGAGTAAAATACATAAAGAGAGTTAACTGCTGACCTTTAAGAGTATCTGGCTTCACTCACAAAAATAGCTGCAGTGCTAACCACAGCTAGCTCAGACTAACTCAGACAAGCCCAAAGAGATGGGGCAGTTAACATTTTGAAGATTTAGCTAAGACTTAATCTACCATGAAGTCACATAATCTCCACTCAGCCAGCCAACAGAGAGCTTACAGTTGCTCTTAATGCCTACAAGCTGAATATGTCTTTCTATACCAGCAACCTCTTCCTACTCAAGAAGTACTTCCTCCCGTACAGGCTTTGGAAAGTGAAATCTGTCAAAGAATTTATAACATCTGCAGAAGGAATTTGCTGTGGTTTTTGATTTAACTGAGATAGCTGGAATACTGAAATTATTAACAGTAGTTCAAATTTCTGTGATAAATTATCTGTTGATTGTCTTAAAAAAAGGGAAAAAAAGAGTAATAGAACTTTCCCAGTTGAACTGATTTCTCCACTGCAGAAGTTTTTTGGTTTTCATTCAAAGCCTGAAGACTTGCACAGAGACTTCACCTGTGTGCCCTTTGTTGCAGAGAAAGGTTTGTGCAAGGAATAGAGCTCTGTTCTGATGCAGTAAATTGAACAGAATTGCTTGGATGTTAGTTCTGTGGTGGATACAATATGCTCACAACATGTGCCTCTGCTGCTGGAAAGTGGTGATTTAGAGCTTGAAAGTGGTGACCTAGAGCTGACATAGGCTTGAAAAAACACAGGAAGGGAGTCTTCCATTACATTCTTAGACAAAATTAAAACAGTATAGCAAAATCTGTCCACTGTTAGCTATTTTGGTAATCTCAAGTTAAATATTCTGCTTTTGCTTACTTTTCCACATTTCTCTTGAACAGTTCAGTGTTTCTAATCTATGCAATCCATTTTAATTTAAAAAAAATCAGGGTGACCCAGGACCAATGGGATTACCAGGTCTAGAAGGACTCCCAGGAGAAAAGGTAAGAGTATTAAAGAAGTTTAGGCTTTTTAATGGGTCTGTCTGCAGCTAACTGATTTTTGAAACCTTATTTGAATTTTTCTGAAAATTAATGTTTCTGTGTGAAAAAGATTTGTATTTTTATCCATATTCCTTTTTTTTTTTTTTTTCCTTAAATGTACATCTAAATCATTTACTTACCCAATATAAAATTCCATTTTCCACAAATGGAAATGTGTGTAGAAAGCCTTGTAGTATGTCTCTAATTGTTGTTCTTTCCTGAGCACCATGTTATGCTTAGAGTCTGTCTGCTTGTTTTAACACTTCGGGCATAGCTACAGGTATGAATCAAAATTTGTACCTGAATTAGTCTAGACCAAGTATGTGAAAAACTTCCATTAAAAACAAAACAAAACAAAACAAAACAAACAAACAAGCAAAAAAAACGATTTCAGCTGAGTATAAAGATGGAGGAAGTGCTAGAAATAGAAGACACTGATTCCCTATTCCCTACAGTGTTTGATGTGAGGGCCCTATGAATGCAAAGGCAAAACTGATTTCTCAAGACTATTGCTTGTTATCTAAAAAGGCCCCTGGTTTCTATTTTACTTTTCTTATTGCACTGCCTGTATGAAGCCATCATTGCACATCCTGAACTGTGTCACAATCTCAAGAGCCTTCCTCTTGTTCAAGCGTGCATTCTGGTCCTAGGAAATTACTTTTTCCTTGAGCTGGTGATGTTTCAGCCTTTCATGTATCAGTTATGGAGGCTGATACAAACTTAGAGTAAAGGTTATTATGAAATGCTAAAAAATTTAAGCTTTTTGTAAAGCATAAAAAGTCCACCAGAGAAATAAAAAAGCCCTGAAAATATGTTTTCTGTCAGTGGAGACACTTTGTTTTGATTTTACCCGTATCTTTTAAGTGTAAGAAGAAATAGTAATCTTTTTGCAATTCAAACACTCAGTTTTTAGGAATTGTATGCTATTCACTTAATACAAAAAAATAGTTTTCTGTGACACTTTTTATCAAAAAGCCATATAATCAAAAGTTTATCCATACTATTACTGTGTATTACTACTACTTCTGCAGAGATTATAGGATAACAAACCAAGGTAGGTGACTACACTAGGTTTTTAAATTAGATAATTCTTGCTCTGGAAGACTACAATTTACAAGCAATTAAGGACAACCTAATTTTAGCATAAACAGACACAGGGAGGTATCACAAACCTAACAGAGACAAAATGGGGACACAAATTAAATAAGGGGAAAATGTAACAGAACAGACTGTATAAACAAGTGAGTGCTTGGCCAATTCCCAAAGCCAAAATACCCTTTCTTTAAGTAAATCTAATCTGATTCCACACTTGTGGTGCAAACAAATTAACAGAATCCAAGTCTGCCTGCCATTCCCAACTGTACAGTGCATGCTGGCTTTTAATTTAGAGCTACAAGATACATCAGTGCAGCAGCACGCCTTATTGCATAGACAGTGCCAGCTGTAGTTTTGTGATAATGTCATGAGCTGGCTGAAAACATTTGTGTCCTCAGGATAAAATTAGCCTTCCCTCAGCTATGCTGACGCAGTGATTTTGCAGTTGTGCTGTGCATCACATTGCTAAATGCATTCAGGGCAAGGGGAAAAAATTTCAAGGGAAGTGTTGAGGATTTCTATCTTTACTCTCACACACTGCCAGCACCTAATGAACCCCACTGTGTATATAAATTCTGGTTACGGAATCACCATGCAGCATGGAGGCACTGCTGAAGCCAATGAGCCCTGCTAAGTACCACAAGTACTTGACTACTCTAACGGTGCTCATAAATTTTTCACTGAGAGGGAAACTTGTATTGTGTGACTTTTCTTTGTCTCCTGAGCAAGAGAGGTTGAACTGTGAGCAAGCTTCTCCCTCTAGACCCAAGGTCTCGTCTGTTTTGGTTTAGTTTCATTTGGTGATACTGCTCTGGTCTGCTTTATTATGTGGGCAGTGTGTCAGAGTGAATGTGCCTTGCAAGGCCATGCACTTTTCATTAACTAACCCCTTTGGGCTGGCAAGCAAGTCGGAGAGCACTCCTAATTCGTAGAGGTTACTCCCAGTTGCCAGTGCAGGGAAACTGGCTGCCAGCTTCTGGCTCCTCAGCCAGATTCAATTTATTTGGTTCAGAGTTAGGTGTTATGTGGGCAGTGTCAAGTTTTTAGTACTGCAGTTGTTCTGTCACAAATGTGATAGGCAGCAAGGTTTTAACTATGTTCTGTTGTCATGTGGTCTGAAAACCCTAAATGTAAAAACAAAACAGAATTTGTATTCATCTGTCTTGAACAGTCCTGCACTGCATTTCTTAGTCTAGCGCTGCATAATTGGTTCAGAAAACTGAGAAGTTACTGTTACCTAGAATTGATATTTTCCCCTATACTGTAGCTCTGATGTGAGGCTCTCAAAACTGTTTATAGGCATTAACTTGTCTTCTCTCTATACTATTTACAATGTAGTTAAGTGTTTCCAATTGCAAGCATTATTGTTTTATCACCTGAACAAAATGATGAGAACGACACAAAATATCTCCTTGAGCTTTTCTACACAAAACAATGTGACTGTAGCTATGCTGGCAGAGCTTTTGCAAAACAGCTCTGGGTAATGTAAACTCAGCTCAAAAAATATTCTCCTGTTTGTATGGCTTCAGCTGTGTCAGGGCTTTCCTGACATGATTATAGAAACATGGGGTCTGATCTTCTTACATTTTTAAACAACGTTATCCTAGCAGAGTGCATTTTTACAGATTGATGCATGTCAGCAATGGGATAGGGCAGATCTTGCTGTAGAGTTTCACCTCTGGTCAGCTCCATCCATCTGCTTTGAGTTATAGTCTTCACAGGAGATAAAGATGAATTTGCACTTGCACCTCGTCAACTCCAGCACAAAATCCATTCTCTTAGCTTAAATTATTGATGAAGGTATCTCTGTGATAAAGGAAACTTTGTGCTTAAAAGACCACAGCACAAGCAAATCAAGGATACTGAGTTGCATGAAATGGCTGAGAGCAGAGCAGGAAGGCAAAAGGTTCTTTAAAAGGTGAATCTTAAATAGGGGGGTCTTGATAGGATAGTGAATTGCAATGTGTTAATTTTGGTTATGTGTTATGTGTTAATTTTGGTTAAATGATTATTACTTAAAAAGCCTCAGATAAATCATCCCATTTCCAGGAAGGCCTCAAACAGAATATAAAGGATAAGGTGTAAGTTCTGACAAAAGAACCTAAACAAGGATTTCTGTTACTTGCTCAAGTCTGTAAAATGAGTCAGTGTCAGAGCTAAATGCTAGCGTTTAGCAGAGCCCAGCTCTTGTCCTCGATTTCAGCTCACTGCATAATTCTTCCCAAGGTTTTAATCAGGATCCATGAATGAACTCCCGTTTTCAGTGTTACCATTTAAATAATGATTTATCTTTTCTTCAGGGTGACCGTGGACCAGCTGGCACACCAGGAGTAGCAGGGATACCAGTACGTATATTCATTAAAGAAATCTCATTTTGTTACAAGAACCTGAAAAAAAGTCAAGCAAGGTGCTTAGCTGTAATCTTACTTACTGTTTCTGGGGGCTCTTAACAAGTGACATATGGGCAGATATGAGAATGACATATTTTTCCTAAAAGAATTAGAATTTTAAGACTTCTGAGGGCTCAGAAATGGGATAAATACATGATAAAGCTTGAATTTGAAGTTGCATATTCTCATTTAAGAAAGATTCTTCTCATTGCCTCAGCTTTATAGAGATAAATTATAACGTCATTTTCTGTGTTCTTGGGCATACATAAATTTCCAGGCATCTTTCTATCACAAAGAAAAAATATGAACATTAGTTAATGCAATGCACAGCAATCTGCATTTCAAATCAATCAAACATTTGCTTTAAGGGACATACTTTGATAGTTATTTACATGTTGTATTCAAGAAGTTTCTGAAAGTCAGTCTGAAGCTTTGTTGTAGGTGAAAGTAAATGTAACTAATGATAAATTGAAATTATAATTGTTCATTCGTGTTCCTAAAGGAAATAAAGACAAATTTTCTTTAGATTGCATTCACAGTTTAATAAACGTATACATATTTGTATTTCAGGAGGCAGTATGAAGCTATTTATATTCAAATACATTCATTATTAAATTTGGACAGCTACCAATCCATTCAAGAGCTGTGTTTAAATTATAAATGTGTTTCATGAAATAAAGAGAAGTCTGTATCTATGCAATCCCATTTCCATTAGCACCTAATTTAGTGTATTTACTGTGATTTCTAAGAGAGAACATTAGCTTAAGTAGCTTAATGTAGTTAAGTTCTCCTAAAACAAGGTAAAAACTCACATTTAAAGGAAGAAGATAATTTTTTCTTTGAGTTTTATAGCCTGTGTAAAGTTTCAAAGTTTGTTGCTCTGTAATGTATTATATATACACTGTGAATCAATAATGCATTAGCTAGTTAGGTTCATCATAATTGTTCATTCCCTGTGTATTTCCCACTGGGTATGTTTCAGGTCTTATTGTTGCTGCTTTCTATTCTAGTTGGATGTGAAATAGTTATTGACTTCCTTTCATCACTGATGAAGTTGCATTCTTTTGCTTACATTTAACTCCAGTAAGATCCATTGAAAAGAAATTATTTGCTTTACCATTTTATGCTAAGTTCTATTATTAAAGATTTATTTTTTCTCTTTTAAAGCATTGATTGAGCTGTAACATGAGCATTTCACTCAAATGTATATCCTGTCTTAGTTTTGACTTAAGATAAATTGATGTTTTTCTTCACAGCAACTTGAATTTCTAATATTCTTTTCTTGCAGGGAAAGCCAGGATCTCCAGGATCCCCAGGATTGCCAGGAGAACCTGTAAGTACAGATTTGAGTTCTATACTACTATGCTAATACAAAAATATATTGAATATTGAATGCAAGATTTTACATGCAGATTCATTTGTGTTTTCTTTTTACTTAGGGTGAAAGAGGACCCATAGGAGATACAGGCTTCCCTGGGCCAGAAGGACCACAGGGAAAACCAGTGAGCAATTTTATCTACATTCACTAAGAAAGCATGCATCTTAGTTTATGACAAATTTCAAAATAAATTAGAGTACATCCTGTTTTGTATTGGGCTTGATCACTTCTGAAGAACATTCTAGAGTTACAGTGCTCAATATAACCATCTAGTCAAGAATTCTTTTCATATAGAGTGTGATGTGTTTATGTTTTAATAGCCAATGTTACTGAGATCCTTTGGAGGTTAACTGAGATCATTTTGAACTCCACTTGGATCCTGTTGACTTGAAAGATCCCTTAGCAGTTTTTCAGAATGAGAATATTAACCCAAGAGCTCAGCACACTCTGTTGAGGATAGAGCAACAAAATGCATTCATAGTTTCAATTATGCAGAGAACTGTTGGCTTCATGACTCTGAATACACATTACTGTTCTTCTACTGGTAACGCAACATCATGTCTGAAGCACGTACTATTCTCTGAGGATATGTTTGATCTGACCTCTTTATTTAAAATGCACTGTAGTCAGCAGTGTATTGTAGCACTGTCTGAGCTAGTTTAAAACAGTCTAGTTCATATTGCAGAAGTAGTTCAGCTAGGATAGCTCAGAACTCCCTCCCCCTGAGCACGGTGTTGCAGTGACAAGCATGAGAAGTGCACCATTTTAGATTATTACCACATCTCCACTCTATTCTTCTCTCTTGAAAAAGACCATTTCTGTAATTTCTGCAGCAAACTGGCCCAATTTAAGGAACAGCTTGAAAATCTGTATCACTAATAAAATTTTAAAGTGCCTGCATTCATGAGCTCTGTCAGGATGCTACAACAGTGAGCTGCTCTGCAAGAAGCAATTGAGCTGAGGGCAGGAACAAGATGGGGTCATGGACACATCAGCAAGGGATGCGGGTCCACAGTGACCTTAATCATTCAAAACCATGCTTTGCAGTATGAAAAAGAAGGAAATATTGCTTATTCCTTTGCCTATCCAAGTCTTCTTTTTCACTCATGCAACATAGCTCTAAGTTTTCTGTGTATGCAGGTTCTGGCCTTGTAGATCCCATCAACATAAATAGTGACAGAACATTTGTCTTGCACTTACCTGGTGTTGAGCAATTGTTAAATTACTCTGTGACATTATTTGGCCCATGCCACCCAGCACATTCTGAGACAATGTCATGTTCCAGGCTGGGGAAAAATGTGAGTCTGAGACTGCTTTCAGTGTGCATTTTGAGTAAGACTGCCCTCTTTTGGACAGGAAAAAATGTTTTGACCAGCAGGTGGAAGCTGTGGTGTGTCACAAGTCCTAATGGCCAATGAACAGATCTGGACACTTATTGCTGAGGTCTAATCTCTGTAACAGCAGAGGCTAATAGGGCATTTAGGACTAATGCCTATCATAACATGAATCTCTTCTGTCATTGTACAATGAACTAGGACTTGCAGAGTATCTGTACAGCTCCATATTCCACATGTTTGCAGAATTTTGCTGAAGCTGGTCATTTGAAGTTGCATGTTCATTACAACTGATACTTATCTTGTCACTGAAGATATTTTTTGCACTGCTCTCTCAGTTCGAATGTAATCTGCTTGCAGTTCAGCATGGCCTCAAGCTTTTTTGTAGCACATTCCTGAAGACTGTTTGTGAGTGTTTCAACACTGTAACCATGCAAACTTCTGATTGCAGCTTTAGAATGCGTACTGATACCATCTCTAACCAGTGAGCTTTACACCTTGTTTTCGAAATACATATAAATAATTATTAAAATATTACTTCTTTTTTTTTTTAATAGGGAATCAATGGAAAAGATGGAATGCCAGGTCCTCCGGTAGGAAACCATGCTTTTGCATTTTAGTATATTTAATTGTTAACAAATAATGCAGCTGTTAATCCTAATAGTTGTTTTCAGTTCAGCTGAACACACAACAAAGCCTTTAAGCAATATATTTAATCTCTTTCAAAAACAATTTTTCAGGGTGCTGTGGGGAGACCAGGAGACAGAGGGCCCAAAGGAGAACGTGTAAGTCCCTTGTTTTAATAACTTCTTTCCTTTTATCTGAGTATCCAAACACCTCATTAGCACATATTTTATAATCACAACCAACCTATTAATTTTCTGTGAACTATAGGTGACAATAAGCATCCCATGAACCACTATGAGAAACTGAATTGCTTTCTGCATTTAGAGAAAAACACCTTTACAGACCTTCTAATGCAGATGACCTGGGCACTGTAAATTGTTGATGAAAGTTAGAAAGTAGATAAACCCCTTGTGTGTGATGTAGTCAAACTTTGAAAGCTTTCCTCATTTCATCCTTGAGATCTTTGCATGTCACAAATGCAAATGCAATAAAGCAATTCCAGTGACAGTGGTCTTTGTTATATCTTTAGTTATAGCTGTTAAAGAGCTCTGATTCACTGGAAATAGTACAGATTTGGAGGACAGATGGGTGATAAAAATGGTAGATAACCTCCTGCTTTCATCCTTAGCTTTCTCTCCATCTTTTTTCAGTCTTAGCATGTCATGTAAATACAACTTGTGACTGTAACTACACTTTTATCATTTTATCAGTTAGTCATGTTTCAGATTTGAATAAAGTTTACCAGTACTTGCTGTAGATTAAAAATCCAATTTATTCCATTTATTTGCTTCTCATAAATGTGGATTCTAGATTTATCTTGTAATAATGCACGCAGTTCCTAGTGTTGTTTGCTCCTTATGGTGGAACTTGACATTAGCTTAAGTGATGCAGCAAGGACAACCGGTGACCCATAAGAGATGTCAGCTGTTTGTTAACAATCTGAATGCATGACTTGCTGCACTGTGCTCCACAGATACAGCTCAGTGAACTAACAGCTAATATATTAAGCCCTTCTACAAGATTTAATTCATTGCAAATAAAACAAATTTAAATTACATCTCAGCCATGATAGAGGCTAGCCAGAGTATCAACATTTAGTGTATTTTGTTTGCAGAGAAGTTACTCATTTGAAGTGTATGTGTATATCTGTTGTTTCTTTGATTAACAGGTTTGAATACAGTCAAAAATAAAATATTATGCATCTAGGGAAATTTGAAGGAAAAAAAAAACAACTGATACCCTATGCCTGGGAGAATTTGAGCACCCAAATTCTGCCTATACGATATTAGACATCTCTAGATGAATGAGATCTATAAATGTTCCCCATCAAAATTCTCTTCTGGAAAACTGGGTTGCAGGGTCTAGCTACATTTTGTCATTGGCTTCAACATTAAAAGTACAAGAAAACAAAACATTACTTGCTGTGTTTTCAGAGACAAGGATTAGCCTATAAATCAGCTTCACTGCAGAATTTAGTTGTCTAATAAAAGTCAATTTCTGAATAAGAAAAATGTTACTCTTTAGGATTCTTGGCAGTTCTTCCCAGTTAGTTCCATTGTGTGCAGTGGTTTTCTTTACGCTTTTTTCTTACTCAGGGAGATCAGGGTATTCCAGGAGACAAAGGTCCACAAGGTGAAAGAGGGAGGCCTGGGCCATCAGGAGAAAAGGGGGCCATGGGGCCTATTGGGCCACCAGGAGACAGAGGCCATCCAGGATCACCAGGTCATCAAGGTCCTCCAGGTTCACCAGGTCCCCCAGGTTTCCTGGTAAGAAAATAAAAAGTTTTTGTTAGTTGCTTGCAAAGTCGGAAGAGATGAAGGTAGCACGTGTTGAGCAGTGGGAATCCAATCAAGCAATGCTACATTGTCATAAGAACTAAGATATCACTGAGATGACTAATATTTGCAAATGCTAAAGAAAAATAGGCAGGAAATGTGATTCTCAGTGACAGAGAAACAGGCATTTGAAAAGACAATGAAGTGCTTCCTGTCAGCTGTGTATACTTTGGTTTGTCTCCATGTAAGCATATGTATGCACAGATGCGGTGAATTCATTTCAATTAGTAAGAGGCCCTGAATCAGATGGAATAAAGATGTAAAAATCTTTTCTAACTAAATTACTGGTCCTGTGATACAGTTTTATTTCATTGGCTTTGCGTGAAAGCAGTCCCATGGGGGTGAGAAGTTGGCAAATGTTATACAAAAGGCTACTGAAGTAAAGAAACATCACTGGGTTTCCTTACGGTCCTACACAAATTACTTTCATAACATATACATGCTCGTCATCCAGATAGGTGAGTGCCTTTATAATATTGTAATTTATTTGCAGTAAAGTCAACTTTGTGCCTAAGAGTGTAAAATAAATTTTAGCATGTTTAATTTTAGCTTAATATTTAGTTTAATAATGAATAAAAATCAGCTTGGGGCTGATTTCAGCTTTTTATTTTTCTTTTTAATTATTATTTTTGTAGAATTATATAGTGTTCTCTGCATTTATCTTCCAACATATATTGCCTTTTTGTTTCCTCATCAGACTGATACTGTCTCACTTGAAGAACTAAAAAAATATATCAAACAAGAGGTTCTTAAGGTTTTTGAAGGTAAGACAAAGAAGTCTTACGTAGCTAGATGCTAATGTTAAATTCTCTTCTAAATGTTTTTACTTTCCAATAACTTTTATATACATTTCTTTACATTATCTAACGTACATGGTACATAGTACTTGCTGAATTGCTATAGGTATGCTTAGCTGCTGTTTGTCTATTTAGTACAGTTATGTTCAAACAGTTACAAGTTGAAATATGTTACACAGTGCTTCCTTATGTAAAAGATTAGCATTAAAAGATAGTTTGCTATCAAAGATAAGCATGTATCACACCAGCTACACATTGGTACTTATTCCATTTTGTACACTTCACCAGCTGTTGCTAGAAATCTTCTGGTTTTGGCTGTTTCATTTTGTCTGTCTTCTGTCATCTTACTTTGTTTTTCTTTGTTTGATACCCACACTCTTTTTTTCACTGAAATTCTTATCTTAAATCTTAAAATTCCACCAGAGTAAATGCCAGATCAGGTGTGGAATGCTTAGTTAAGTTTCCAGGTTAACTGTGAAGGTCTACATCTAAGGAGCACTAAAATGCTAGCAAGTATGCTTTGTTCCATGAGTATGAACAGTTCATGCTGTTCATACTGAAATGTCTGCAGTAGTAATGTTTGCTGAGTTGTTTCCTTTTTTTGTTGTTGTTGTTTTGTTCATTTGTTTTTACAACTATTTCTAGGGTTTAAGCACATCCCAAGAACTGTTCACATTATTTGAGTTTTACTTTGGGGTTTAATATGAGTTATAAAAATACCCTGTCATAGGGATGTTAAATGTTAACATTACACATTAACATTAACAATGTTAAATGTAATTATTCTGTCCTCATGTGTTTTAAGTACTTCAACAAACAGAAGTTAGAAGTCCTTTAAGATACTGAACTACATCAATAGAATACAGTACAAATTTTGTGCAAATTCATTGAGATTATCGCAAAGGGTGAGGACTCAAATATGAAGTCAGTTGGAACTGAAGATCCTGGTACTTACTGGAGCATTTAATACCCCGAACTATTGACATTTAGGAGGATTAAACATCTTACTTCCAGAAATTTACTTGGCTGGAGCTTTGGGAATTATTTATTTTAATGTATTTTGTGAACAGATTTCTTACCATTTTTTTCTTGTGTCCTTTGTTATTGAAGAAAGGATGGCTCAGTTTATGTCCCAGTTGAAGTTGCCTGCTGCATTGCTTGCCTCCCAAGCTCATGGGAAACCAGGACCCCCGGGAAAAGATGGCTTACCAGGGCCCCCAGGAAAGGATGGTTTACCAGGACCACCTGGGGAACGTGGGATTCAAGGTAGGAATTCCGAATAATCACCTCACAAATTAAATCTTGAAACCTTTATACACTTGCTAATGATTATTAAATAAGCCAAGATTACCTACCTAGCTTTCTAATGATTAACTTTTAAAACGGTACTTATTTTTTTCCAGACTAGATCTAAGTATTAACCCATAGTAAATGTGTGGATTTTACTGATTTAAAATTGCTAATCAGTGCATTTTATTCTAATAAATGATAAAGTTAATCACTGACAGATGTCTAAAACTGGCAGATATCTGGAGTAGTGTAGAAGTTATTTTCTCTCCAAAATAATTGAACACATCAGAAACAGAGCCAGCACTCTGTTGTAATTGTTTACATTGTGTCCCATACTGAGAGACCATTTAATTTAAGAAACAAAATTTGATTTCTGAGTGCTTTCAGCTCTGATCCTGAGACAGCACAAGGGAGGAAAAATTGAAGGCAATTACTGTTCTTTAACAAGCAGTGAAAACTGAAATATTGCAACATACATCCTTCTTACTAATGAAGTAATCTATTGTCACAAATCAATTTCAGACTGATCAGGTTTTCATTCTGCCCCAAATGGTAATTTGTAGAATGCAATGCAGTCAGACAAGACAGTATAGGACTCTCATTCCACTGAACTGTCCTTCACTGCAAACTTAGCATCAAGGAATCCAAGACCATCATAGCTGTGTTCTACTGTGGACTCAGCCTATCTGAGATTAAAAGAAAGAGAAAAAAAGAATGAAAGAAAAAAATAATTTACAGATTAATAATATTTTGTGGGCAATATGTAAATTGCAGTTTATCTGTAGGTAGTTCTTTATTATTATCTTTTGTTAGTTTGGTCTGCTCTGGAGTCAGAGCAAGTCAGACTGGAATGAAGAACATGAAAGCAAAACTGAAGATGTGTGGATCCTAAAGCTATCAGAAGAATAAGGACTTACTAACACTGATAAGCGCAAACCCCTGACAGAAGCTCAGAATGAGAAGAACAAGAATAAAGGATCAAGGAAAACAGTAAAAGGGTTAGAATCTTACAACACTGACTTCATCATTAACTGAATATTCAGATCACTGCAAACAGTAGACTTCAATGACAGTGGCAGATTTATCAGTGATAATGTATGTGGTGAATAGTCTCAGATGCTTCTGGGAAGTAGAACATTGTAATAGGCTTCATTTCCAGCTAGTGAGCATCAAGAGTAAAGATGATAGCTATGCTTGAAAAAAAAAAAAGAAAAAAAAAAAAGAAAATAAAGCTGCTTTTTTGTGCCTTGTGCTTAAGTAAAGGTAGTGCACAGAATTCCCATTTCTTTTATCAATATACTCAATAGTCTTTTTACGTTACTAAGAGTTAAACTGAGAAGCATTTACCTCTCTTTTTCTATAATTATAAAAGAAAATTTCTTTTTTCCACTTGATATATCAAAAGATATGAAACTGTACTGCAAAGAAGAAAACCAAAAATTTGTCTTGCCTCCTTATTACACTGAGAGGGCTTACCGTGAGAGAAGCACACTTACGAATACAGTTCATGCATCTCCCAGTAGTGCCTGTGCCTGTCATTGTTAGCACCAACAGCTAAAAGAATTTCACATCTCTGAGCAGACTGAAAAGCATCCTTGCATATTTCAGTTCATTTTCAGCCACAAAGGATGAAGCAGACAGGATTGTTTTACAGGAACTTGTTCAATTGACTGCAGTTATTTAACTGGATATTTAAACTCTAATTATATGTTAATTACAGTCCTTTAGAGAAAACTTCCTTGTGAGATTTTTGCAGCCCAGAGATACATATTGTGTTTTATGTTAATATGGTGCTTTTTCTCAAACAAAAAGAAATGTTCGACCTCATTAAGCTTCACTATTTCTATCAAAATAGCTCCAAGGAATTGAACATCCCCGCTCAGGAAAGAAAAATACTGTCTGATAAATAGTGAAAATTCCTTGTCTTTATTGTTCACCCTTGTCATAAAATGTATGTATTTTAGTATAGTTATTAACTTATATGTTGGAAGCATCTAGAAACTGTGGTTGATGTCATGAACCCCTTGTAGTGGATGTTGTCCAGGCACTATCACTCTTCTGAAATAGCTGCACTGGCTTAACCTGTTACCTCCTGTAAACTGCTTTTTGTTTTGTAGGGTCAAGTTAACTTGGTTTACTTTGACTAGACGTTCAGTTGCTACCTCTCAGCTGCAAGGTTGCTTTGCAGTTTTTTGCTTTTAAGATTGCAGTGATATGCAGAGTATTTGTGCAGTGTAATACTGTGGATACTTCAGAATCATTGTTCTTTGTCACATTAGTGTGTTTGCTTATGATTGTATCAAAAAACCTCTGATTTCTCTAGATACTGGCATGCTGGTTTCAGCTATCTGTAGAACAACATCTCAGTAATGTAGTTAGAACACTTTTGGAGCTGTTTAAATGTGATGGCTTTTTACTTCTATAATGCATAGACACAAGCTTGCATCATTTCCAAGTAAAGCTGAGGGTATTACAACAGTGACATTCTGACTGTCAAATCTGTAGTTCTGATATCACTGAACCAAAAGCTCTATTTTAGCTGTGGCCACTCAATCTATGAACAGCAGGAGAATGCTTCTGTCTTAAAATACATCCTTGCTACATACTACTACCAAGTGTTTACCATATTACCCATCCTGGGTACATGTTTACATGCAACTTTTGTGTTGCAGAAATTATAACAAAACTTCTAGAACCTACGTGAAAGGCTTTGCTAAGATCTTTTGAATTGAGCAGTTCCTCTTACTGGAATTGTAATTCTACCAGTAAAAATAGGCATGTGCCTTTATGTTAAAAACAATAAATCAAAATCTAGTTTTAGTGTTTGGTAATATTTTTCTTTAACTATGTATGAGTTTGTCACTTTAAGCTCAGAGAGAAGGTGATATTACTTACAGAAGAGTAATCATGGACCTCATTCTGAGCAAATATACCTCATTTAAAATCCAGTATTTTACTGCTAAGGTTACATATTGCATTGTTAGACTGTTTACGTACAGGCCTGTTTACTGATATGCTTATGTTTTGTTAAATAAAGCCTTATTTTTAGAAAACATACCTGGAAATTTTGTATTAACTCTCAGTGTCAACAGGACATCTGCCCGTATGTACCACCTACAACTTTGCATATGTATTCAGATACAGCCAGTAATTGTTTACACTACCCTTGTTCATACATTTGCATAGTCAGGCTGCTGTTTGTGCTACTTTTTTTCTTCCTTATTGTCTTGAATTCCATTGATGTTTGCAGAAACTTTTGGTCTATCTCAATCCCTTTTCAAGTGCATTGTGTCAGATATCTACAGTAATGGTTATCATGGACTTTGTAAATGTGATGCATCGTAAATGTGATTTCTCTCTTTTTCCCAAAACAATGATCAGTGACAGCACTACTTTGTAAAATTACAATTAACTGGGTTTGTAGTGAGAAATGTACTTTAATTATCTATTGTAAACTAAGAAATACAGAGATCTATAATAAATAGGAAATGTAATAGATCCTGTGGTTGTGTGATTGAGCTTCTCAAGCAGTAGCCACTACTATGTGTTACATAAGGTTTTCTGAACCAACCAACTGGCTATAGTTATAAACACTCCTACAGTCGTTGAAAAGAAAATCAGTGGTCACAGCTGAGTACAAACACATTCATATTGGCTTTTCTGAGTTCTTGTAGCCTATGTGCCTATATGCTTTCGCACTTCTGTTTAACACAACTCAGTAACCAGAATGCACGATTTGTTTGTTTCTCTGTAAGTTTTTAAACACTTTATTTCCACTTGTTGTGTTGTGCATGTCACCCTGCATGCCTTTCATAATGTGTTTTGCCTCTGTGGAGTGCTGAGGGACAATTGATAAAGGATACTTGATACACCGTCTTGAAATCCAGAATGCCACCTGCTACCAAAATCTGTAGTGAGCCTGCATTTAACAGAAGGTTTGAGTACTGTGTACCTTTCCTCTTGCATTGTGTCTGTTGTAACAAGCTTGAATTTGTACCCACAGCAATTGAAATAGTTTCCTTCTAGATTGCCTTGTAAAGTAGCACTGTTGCATTACTGCAGTACACTGACACACAACCTCTGCTTTCTATCTGCTGGTCATTCATGAGACACTAGGTGGACTGACTGCACTATGCTGACTGGTCAGCTGTGCCTCTTCTCTTTTAATTCAGAGTAAGCTACATCTCTTCACAAGAGGAGGTTTCTTGTGTGACATATGTGACACAGGAAATAGACTGGTCCTGGAACCAGAGCTAATTTAATTCCAAGTGTGATCAGGAGTTGGCAAAATCATCTTTAATATTTGTCACCTTACGTGCCAAATTCTGGGGTGTTTGGGAGGGTGTTATCCTTGTTAACAATGTATAGGTACTTGGGTCAAAGAAGGCTTTCTGTACTAGAACCCATACTCTGCACAAGCTCCAAGAACAGCTTCTAAGAGCAGGTGCATTACAATAGATATGGAGATCTTCTCACACATATAGAGGAATATCCAAGCACACAGCTTCCAGCTGGAACGCAGATGTCCTTCTGGTTGGTGCTTTGTATCACATCATCAAACAGATAACACTGGAGCAGTATATACATTCTCATCTTTTTTTACAGGAACTTCAGGAAGGTAACTTAAAATCTTTGGGAAAGGTTAGTAGAAAGGGCTAGTAAATATAGCAAGAGTCCTCTGGCAGAGGATGTAACAGTTACAGCTAGAAATTGGCATGTTTTCCAGAAAGAATATAAGAATGGAGTAAGTGTCTCAGAAAATATTGCTAGTGTCAGGGGAAAAAAGTGAAGTGAGTAGGTGTTGTCCCACACAAACACTAAACATAAACAATTATGTTTATCTTGATAATTTCTTGTCAACAAGGTCCTCAGAGAATTACTGTTTATAATAAGAGAACACTTTTATTTTTATATCTCTCTTCTGTTCAGGTTATAGAGGACAGAAAGGGGAAAGAGGTGAGCCTGGAATTGGACTGCCCGGTAATCCTGGACCTCCTGGCCATGCAGGTACAAGTCTGCAGATATATTTTATGCTATTGTTATTTATGAACTAACATGCCTTTCTCCGGGTTCTCACACCAGTTTTACATCAGGGAATTTCCTTCTGATTTTGCTATAGCATGGGGTTGGATACACCCGCTTTCTTGCACATGAGCTGGTATGAAGCTAACATTCAGGGATGTATTGCAGGAAGGCCACTGCACGTGCTCTGGAGGGGACTGTGCTAATTCTGACTTTATTTTACCAGCTGCTGGCCTGCCAGGCCCTCCAGGAACTCCAGGGTCACCCGGACCGCAAGGGCCACCTGGACCCAATGGAAGATGCAATCCAGCAGATTGCTATTACCACGTGTCACAGACCCGGCCACGCACCAGTGGGAAATAAAACTCTCTTCCATAGACACTTGGGTTCACAATCACTTTTCACTCTCCTTGATAAGTTAATTTAATCTTTGAAATACTTGGTGCATTTTTTGTCCCCGTGACACTGCATGATCTATAGATAATTTATAAGGCACGGAATTGAGCCTTTGTCTCTTCTATCTGCAGTGTCATAATTACGATAACATTTATTTTCCAGAGTGCATTCCATGTGTTATGTTTCTCATATTTATTTTGCTTAGAGGAGAAAATAGGCCCAAATAATTTTTATGAGCTTCTTTCTTCCATCAAAAACAAAATGTTTTATTGTAAGTTAGACAGAATGTGTGCCTCACTGTATAGGCTGGTTTCATGTTCCTTACTGGTAGAGAAAATGCTGTTACAAAGTTTTAAGGAATACCCTTTGGTAGTGACTGTAGAATCTTAGCTGGAGTGCTGGGAACTCTATTTAACTCAATGTTACTGACCTGAGGAGGCTTCAGCACCCACTCTGAACCAGGTTTGGGTCATGAATGCCACCTTCTGTTTCTGTAGCTTTCTAGAGGTTACAGAAGGAAGCAAAGATATTTTTATGGTCTCTCCACTCCCATCCAATTCAGATTAATACTGACAGGGGGTACACAAGATGCGACCCCAAGAAAGCTGAATGCTATTCCACCTGAGAACTTGAGCTTTGGTTTAGTCAGGTTGCATAAGTCCAGGTGTAAAACTGCTAAGAACTCATGGTGTTGTCCTTAACTAACATCTGGCACATTTTCTGATGGTGATATGAACTTAGCAAGTATGTTGTCATTGCCTGCAATTAAGCTATTCTGCCATTATGTCTGCTTTTAAAAAAAGATGTCTGGCTTTAGCAAGAGCACAGGTGTTAGCAGTGAGACAGTAAAAGGAGGAACCTTCAGAAGTCCCTGATCTTACCAATGGCAGAATTTTCCTTTTTCTCCTGCTGTAAGCGCATGCTGAAATAATCTTGAGAAGAACTTGAAAACAGTAGAATAGAAAATTTGCAGGTCCTGGTAATTAGCTGCAAAAGTAACATGAGTTCAGGAGAGATTCAGAAAAATTAGGAATCTGTCCTTGGAAAGGTGTCATGCATAGAGCTTGATTGCATTCAGCTTGCAAACATTGAAAGGATAAATCCTACAGGACCAGACACTGTTGAGAAGGAACACAAGAGAAGAAAATGTGAGTCCTACGGAGCTCAGGGGACTGAACAAAAGAAAAGTTGTAGAAAACCAATTGTACAGAGGCAAATTCTGAAAAGGAGGGAGAAGAGTTGGATTAAGTTTCACTCTTGATGTCTGGGGTTGTCTGTTTCCTAATTTAGTCCTAAGGAACTGGTTACAGTGTAATAGAAATGGAAAGTGCTATTAAGAGACTCTGGGCAGCTATAGTCCGAGCTCATGGCACATAAGCAGCACTGCAGCCTCTTGTGCTGTTGCTAGGGAGATGGCAGTGCTGTCCCACTGTAGGCCACTGAGTGGTTCTGATAACCTCCATGCTGCAGAAGTGCTGAAGGAGCCAACTTCTGCCATCAGCCATTAGAGAGGCATTCCCAGACTGGAAGTGCTGGATTCTGGAGAATCTCTTCTGAGAAATTAACATCTGGTTTCTTTTTGCTTAAAAAAGGGTAAGAAATTAATAGATACTTAAAAAAATTGTATTGGCATTTGTTGTGAATAGAGTTCCTAGCACTTGTATCTAGTCCAACAGGAGAAAGATGTGTTACATTAGTTAGCCAGAGAACATGGCAAGCCTTCAGGCACACTTTCTGAGGAGAACTAAGCCTAAGAGCAGCCTCTGGGTATTACTTAGTTTATTAATCAGTCAGATATTTTGAGGGAAGAAGATGCGTAACACAAGGGAGATGTTTAAATGAATGGGATTGGAACACTGGCACCTGATCACCTGGGACAGGAGAGGTTGGCTAGAAGGAGGGTGCCAGAAAACCTGTGGCATGTCATGAAACCATTCTCTGAAGAGAATCCGTGAACAACTGCAGCACGCCAGCAACTTGGGGCACGTCTGAGGGGCTCAACATGTCTGTTGGTGAGCATGGAGGCAGATGTCTCAAAGCCTTATGAACATCCTTCAGCTCTCAGCCTCCTCTTTTGCTTCTTCCTTGGTGGGGGCTGGCCCAGGCCTGCTCTGCAGTTGGTGGGTACCCATCCCTTGTGGAGGCACACAAGAAACAGCTCATCCCTCCGCTGTGCAGCTCAGCATCCTCTGCTCCTCTTTCACACCTCCTGTGCCTGGAGAGCGTGATTTGGTTTCCCTTCAGTGTTACAGCTGCTCCAGGGCTGGTCTCCTGTTCTCAGGCCACTGCGGTCAAGCAGTTTGAGAGGCTTCTTGTGTGCACCAACAGCTTCTGGGTCCTGAAACGGGCCCTGCACACTGCTTTCTGTCCACTCAAAAGAACTGCTGGTCAGGTGTCCTGCATGAATGCTTCTTTTTAATTCTCTAGTAATTCCAATTTATGTCAAATCCAAATATTTTTTTACTTTATGCATTAATTATAACCTTCATTTTCTGTGACAATATCAAAAAGGGTGCTGTCTTTTAGGGAACATCACAGGACTGAAAGGTCTCTGCGCAGCCCTCTTCCTGGAATGCTGTACATAGGCTGCCACGTGCTGTTGGGTTATGTGTATATTTTGGGGCTTTTGGCTAGCTGAAACCGAGCACTTGTTACTTGTCTGATGCTACTTCTGTTTGTTAATTTACTTGAACTGATCAGAAAGTAGATCACTTTTTGTATTTGAAGAAGTTTATTTTTTCATCTTTGTTTCCTACAGATGCCTTGTTTTTTTCTTGGGGTTCAAAGCTACAGGTCTTTTAAAATGTATTTAAACTTTGAGTTTGCTTAGATACTTATTCTTGATGTTTTTTTGTTTTTTTGTTTTTTTATTTTTCTAAAAGCCTAAATCAATTTTCTCATGTGAGAAAACGGGTATTTTGTGATATGAGCTATCTCAGTACCTTTTTTAAGATACCATGTTCCTCACCTGGAGTGAATAGAGTTCTTCCTGGCATGACTTCCCATCACACTGTGTGCTCCAACACGGCATGTTTAGAATTGAAAGCAGGCTGTATCTGGAAACATGTGTCTGGGTGGTTTGTGGGTTTGGTCCCTGAAATTTGTTTGCAGTTTCAGACTGATGCTGTCTTAGGTTTTGAGCCAAGGAGCCAGGGAGGGCAACTAGGTGTCCATCTTTTTGTGATTCGCTTTTTTATGGCTTGAGCTGGAAGGGATCTTAAAGACAGTCCAGTTCCAACCCTCCTTCTATGGGCACCTCCCTCTATACCTCCCAGCTTGGCCTTGAATGCCCCTTGGGATGTGGCATCCACGGCATCAATGTTGTATCTGTTCTGAGCAGTCTGTGCTGCAGTAAACTTTTCAAGAGACTAAACAAGGATGATTACTTTTTCAGTAGCACAAGGTTTTTAAATAGTTCAAATCATTCTTAAAAACGAAGCCACGGACAAAACTGCCCAGATTGCCTGAAAAAAGCAATAACAAATGTAGGCAGGGTGAAACATTCTGAGGCTGCAGCTCAGTGCTGTTGTCCACCACAGGGGTTTAGGACACCATCCCAGCACAAGGGAGGCAAAGGGAGATGAGGAGGCAAAGGCTGAGTCCAGCAGCACAAGAAATGACGTGGTGCTGGGTAGGTGCACGGCACAAGAGTTTGCGTTCCTGGTTTTCTTCTTGAGCCTGGTATTTTTTCCTAAAATCCATTTATTTTTACATGGTGATTTACGCAGAAGTACTGCCTTTCTTGAGTAATTATTTTCAGATAGTGTTGCTTAGGTTATATATGTTTTGTTTATGTAAATGTAACAGAAGAACAAGCAGTAGCAGAACCTGCTGCCCCCAGGCCTCCTTTCTGCCAGTATCTGTAGGGGAGCAGCAAGTCTGCAAGGTTAATAAAAATCAAAGCAGTGCAGTCACACAGTTGTACAATCACACGGTTGTGCAGCGGGGTAGCAGTGCGGCCTGCTTTTAAGAACCAATACTTCTGTCTTAAACTGGATTTGGTTTCAATGCTAAAAGAGCACTGTGATAAGGAAACAGGATTGAGCGCATTGTCAGTCCTCCCTTTGTTCTATGATTGTGTATTATGACAGATGTTAGATATGCACAGCTTTGTTAAATATGCATATTTTTAAGATTAATGGATAGTCACACGAAATATTTTGGCACTTATTTTTCACAATGGTGAAATGCTATGTTTTATTGTTGGCCTAAGCTTTTTTTCTTGTTCTGTAATGTTTACATAGGAGTCTTGTGAAAACCCCAGGGGCTATGTTGGCATTTTATACACTTGTTTCTCCAAAAACGCTGGCATAAAGCCAGCCACTGACCTTCTGTTTTACCAGGTTGGTAGAAGTGCTGCTCCAGCTTAGCATGTGAAAACCTAACAAGTATCTCAGGAAACAAAGCAATCCTAGCTTTTCTTGATGTTTTTGTTGTTTGTTTGTTTGTTTTTTTTTGTTTTTTTTTTTAATTATTGTTTTAGATAGATTCAAAATATATGAAGTCATGCAGAGTTTCCTTGAAGTCTGTCACAGAATCACAGATCACTACATGATGTCATGATCACTACAACCAGATTGTGCTGAGTGGTTTATAAATCCATCTCCATACACAGAGGTTGGTGTAGACCATGGAAAACAAGTTTAATTATGACCTTGCCTTGGTTGTTGCTGAAGTTGACAAAGCCCAACTCAAGCTTCACCATACTTTAAGAAAATGTGGTTTTCAAATAATAATTGCTAACAAACATTACAGATTCTAGACCAAAATGAGTTGTAGTTAAAAAGAATGTAGTCTACATGTGGGGTTTTTTTAGCAGTTTATCTCTAATTCTGCTGGTTTAAAATACATTTAATTATTTACTGAAATGTCAATGTGTATATATTCTGTCTTCAGTTGATATGTTTGAAGATTTTTGATGGCATACCTTAGTTTTCTTTCATTTCTGAATGATATGCATCTGTCACTGAGTTAATCACAGTACATGCACACTGTTGCTTCTTCATTGTACTTTTTGGTTTGCAACACTTAAGGTTCAATTCAATGAGTATGTATTAAGTGGATAGAAAATACGCTTTTTACATTAGCTGTGTGGCCACTGATATCTGCAAAATAGGATTCCAGGTGGAAATGGGAATGCTGACTGTACTTCCTGTACACCCAAATGAACTGGGGCTCTACATGTATGGTGGCCTTTCCTTTCTTATCACAAGAGGGCCCACGCAACCGCAAGAGAAAACAAGGGCAGGAAGTCATGGCAGTGAGACCAATGGGCATTCGGCACCTGGGCAGCAAGCCCAGGACTGCTGAACCCAGCAGGAGTTGCTTTTGGCTATACTGAGCTCCAGTATAAAAGTTCATTTTGGTCCTTTGTAGACTCGGATTGCTATTGGCGTACTCGTGAAAGCCAGATCTGGGGTAACCTCCACAGCCTTGCTGTCTTCCCTCTGTTGCTCCGAACTGTGCTCTGCAGAGAGACTTCAGCCTTCATAAGGCATTCAGATAAAGGTTTTGGTACCAGTTCATTCCAGGCTGCCCAAGCGCAGTCATGGCTGGGACAGAAAACTTAAAATGCATACACACATATAAACTATAAATACGTATATATATGTGTGTGTGTGAAATATATATATGTAATTTTTATATATGTGATATATAAAAATATATGTGTATATATATATATGTTTTTGGGGTTTTTATATATGCAATACATAAGAACATAGCGTAGCACGCAGCAGCAGTGTCCCTAATAGTTATTGGTAGCCTTGTAGGGAAAACACTGCAATCAACATTTCAGGTGTTGGATTGGATTGTGAGGAATTGGTGATGGTTTTGCAGACAGTTGCTAAACATTTTCCCCTTGTTTCCTGCCCACATTTGGGTCGAATAACTGGGGAGCTAAGACATGTATTTGTCACAGTGCAATGACACTTTGAGAAGTACAAGTGGCAGCAGAGATCCTGAGGGGTGAAAGGGGCTTTCAGAGTCTTCCCTTCTAAAACAGCATTGTGTCTTCAGATGTTGAACCAGGAAGACAGGAGAACAGTATTTCCATGGAAGCTCAGCAAGACAGAATCCAGGAGCATCTGCTCAGAACTGCCAGCACTGCCATTGGCTTGGGGTACTTCTCAATCTCTTTGCTTTGTGCCATTAAAGTATTTATATTTAAATTAGCACTATTTTTTTTTTTCTGTATCACCATCGTTGATGTGCCTTCAACTTCATGATTCTACAATTAAATCTTCAATTGAACATCCTGATACTAAAATCCACTTTCTGATATATTTTGGTAGGCAATCTGTAATTTTTTGAATGAAACCTGACACAATCCCTAGCTATCCACTTACATAACATCTGCATTGAATTGACCCTCAGTGTTAAATCTCTTTGATTGTAATAGTTCTGATTTGTTTTTGTTTTTTTTTTTACATATGAATGTTTTCTCTCCATTGTGGAGTTCCATGCATTTTCAGGCTGTTTTTTAAAGCACTTCACATTTCTATTTAAATGTTGGAGGGTTTGCTTCTTTTGATTAATTATGTTTATGCATTACATATGGAAAATAATATTTTCATTCTTTCTGTTATCAGTTGTTTTTTTTGTTGTTGTTGTTTTCTTTTTAACAGTTTTACACACTTTATAATCAAAATAAAAGTTTGCTGGTGAAACTACAATTTGTCGGTAACAGTGGTGTTTTATTTGTCATGTTACCTGCTCTTGGAGACCGTGACCTAAATTAGTAATAACCAACCTCATTCTTTATGGTAAGGATGACAGAGCCCTGGAACAGGTTGCCCAGAGAGGTTGTGGAGTCTCCTTCAATGGAGATGTTTAAGACCTGTCAAGGCACCTACCTCTGTGACCCCCTGTAGGGTACCAGCACAGTGGGGGTTGGACTCAGTGGTCTCTTGAGGTCTTTTTTTATTCTGTTCTCATGTTCTCAAGGAACAATGTTCTTTATGAACAAGTTACTCAGTGGGTGTGCAATTGAGCGGATTTGTTTCTTAAGACTGAAATTCTTTGCAATCATCTGTTCTGATGAATCCTGTAGCACTAAAGTAGAAGATGTTGGTTATGTGAAAGTTTGGCCAGAAAGTCTCTGATAGATGTGCAAATGTACTTTCTTTTAGTTAGTAATGCAATCAGACACCTTTTTCCCCTCATGATCCTATTTAGGCACTTTCTGTCAACAGGTGAGTTGCAGGAAACCAATTCAAAGCAGCAAGAGCATCAGGTTTCTTTGGGGGAAAGTTTATGCATTCCTTTTTCAATAATTCCCTTTAGCATACATCATATTTTTTCTACCTGAATGTTCTATTGTGTGGTACAGGCAGAGCTCAGCTGCTTGTGTTACATCCTATTTTCACATGGCCTACAAGTCAACAATTTTGAATAGAAGTAGACAATGAAGGGCTAGGAAAAAAAAAAGCCCAAAGTAAGAGTGCTAAAATTTGTATTTTAAAATTTGGGTGACTAATAGCAAAATGAAAGAAAATGCCACAGGATTGTTTCACTGTCATCTTTAAGAAAGAACAGGCTTCAGAGAAGGTAAGTCAAAAACACACTTTAATTTACACAGAGAGAAACAAAATATCCACATTGCATATTTTCCTCTAAAATTCAGTTTCTCTAAAAAAGGCAACTCAGGTGGTCTTCTAGCTGTTGTGTTTATTGGTATTGAAGTAAACATACATACAAAAGCATACAGGGAATTAAGACATTATTTAATTGGGTTTTTGTACAACCACAGAAGTGACTTCAAAACATGTAACCTTGGCTACCAAACTAGTACATTTCTGGGACTTAACATTTCCCTGACAGGGGCTTCCTGCCTTTTTTCTTTTTAATTTCACCTAGAAGGAGTCAAGCTGGAATAGACTTCATCTGAAATTCAGAATGCAACACAAACTGAACTGGAAAATGAGGAGGTTATTTCATCTGGCTTATTCACAAGAACCCAGTGATCGTACATTTACAGATTTACAGCATAAAAGCTGGCAGCAGCAGCAGCTTTCTGTGAGAACAGTCTCCCATTGCATTTCTACAATGGTACCAAAGAGCTGAGGGAGGCTTATAGCATATCCTGTACAGCACATACATGCAATGAAGTGATGTAATCTGCTCAAGGGAGCTCTAGATTTTATTTTACAAGCACACAAAAAAGTTACAACTAAAGTAAATAAACTATTCCTTTTTATTTATGTATTTTATGGCTGAAGACGTGTTCTTTCACTTTATATCACACAAAGAAATTAAGTATAGGTAAAGAAGTGTTCAGGGCAACTCTTTGTTTAAAAACAATATTAAATTAACAAATGCCTTTATAAAGAGCCAAAAGACCTGTGTGTTTTTGTAAGCACCGTTGTTCCAACTTGTGTTGCTATGAACGCCTTTACAAACAATGTACAACCACTGTGTTCAAAATGCCTTACTGAAATCGTGGGTGCAAGCCTGTGTTTCTCCTCTTTATTATTATTTTCAGCTGTCTGTGCAGGATGTAAATTGATGCTAATGCTCTGTGGCTTTCACGTTGCCCATTCATGGCCCTTTCATGTTCTTACCAGCAGCTCTCTGTCCAGCCTGCATTCGGCAAGACGACGGCTCGCAGTACCCAGGAGGGCCGGGAGGGCCAGGAGGGCCGGGAATCCCAGGCTGACCAGCCACCCCAGGGGGACCTCGTACACCATCACGGCCTTCCCTGCCATAGCTGGCTTTGCCTGGTTCACCTGGAAAAGCGGATGCGGGTCTAAATCTGGGAGCATGTGATGTGGTCGGTATAGACCTGGCTGTACCACTTTTTTAGCTTTACTAAAAACTAAAAAGCTGGGTGAAGATGGGATCTTTCCAGCAGAGTTGACCACTCGGAGGGACAGTTATTCTCTAACAGAGAACCAGACTGTGTTTACACATCTATAATAATGAAATGGTCCTCTCCAGTTGCACTGGTACAGATCTGCCACTGTAAGAATCAAGACCAGACAGCTGACTGGAGGACTGCAGACAGCACTGTTGGTGATGTTCATGGATGCTACTCACTATTTCATAGTATTACCACTCCAGAAAGATACATATCAAAAACTTTTTTTTATTCTCCATTCAGATACGTTGAAGAATAGATGTGTAGAGTGGAATGGCTGAGCATTAATGTATGCTGTTTTCTTTCTAGAACTTCAATGAAGGGATTAAATAATGCAGTGATTTTAGTAAGCCTCTTCCAATCATAAATTTCCAGAGGGAGAACACTAAGTGTCATAGACATTCTGAGTATCAGTATATACTCAAGTGAAAATATTTTCCTTTTTTACAAAGAGAACAAATTTTGATAGCTTCTGTCTATGCATGTGCAGAAACATGCCATACGAAGACGTTTATGGAAACGCTTATTTTTACTGTTGGCCACTAGAGGGCAGTAGGTATCCATCCTGGACCTCCTACTGCTTATCGCTGCAATTAATTACAACAGAAATAAATAATTGTGTTTTGAATGTCTTAAGTTACGAATTGAGATTTTGAAGAATGCTGCACCTGCTAGTAAGACTGTCTGATGTTTGAATCTTGTCTTTCCATTGCTCTTTTTTTCCTCTTTTTTTAATCATTTCCTCTATTTTAACGCTCTTTATGTATTTTTTTTCTAATCCTTCTATGCTGACATAAATGGAGTGGAGCAGTAGCACTTTAGGAAAGAGCTGATTTTATCATTACCTACAAAGTAAAAATAGTGAAGTACTGTTATTTGGAAGCTTATTGCTTAATGGACACCTTTTAGATTTTTCAAGGCAGCTTGAGGTACCAGTTCTGAATAAATTTTTACTACAAATATCTTCGTTTTCTTCTTTATCCCCACCCTTTTATACTTACCTGGAAGACCTCTCGGTCCTGGGAGACCTTTCACTCCTCTGCCTGGAAAACCTCTTTCTCCCCTTTCTCCTGCTTCACCTAAGTAAATTTATGAAACGTTAATGAGAGCCTGCTTAGAGTATTATCTTTAGTAAGCTCTTCCTCCAAAGCAAACAGCTAATAAGCAGAGAATTCAGCTGGCTGTATATATTCTTACTACCTTTGAACAATGTCCTGACACCCATAAAAGATTTGGGATTTGAGTTGCCTTCTTTCCCTCTTTCTGTCTGAGTTACACTCAGACACTGGAGGGGGGGGGGAAAAACTGGGGACAGGACAGTAAGCACTGCATGAAATGTTCCATAACCTATATAGCAGAAACAAACCAAGCTCACAGAACGACAAGGGCTATTTTGGATTATGGCCTGAGGTTACTGTCAGAGGGCTTTTGAAAGACCAAGTGAACTCAGCTAACAGCTAAAAATTCTCCAATGCTGCTCCTTGAGACAGCTGCTGCAGAGAAGTTGATTTGCTCAGAATACAGTATTCTACTGACACCCACATAAGATATTGGGTACAGTAAAAATAAATTACTTTGTTCTCACACACTGCTATCACAGAGACTTTTCTTTAGTGGACACCCATTTTTTCTTCAAACTAATATATAGCTCCAAACAGAAAGCATCTTAGTAAGAGGAAGCTTTGATTTTTGTTATTGTTTTAGTTGTAAAGTCTAATTCTGATCGTTGTTTACACTCCTCAACCGTCCACGTGTTTACAGTTGTGCACACCCTACTTAAACTCTTCATCTGATTCTTATTCTTTGATCCAAGACTTTGTTGTTGTTGACATTACTGAAGTCACTGTGTTTTTGTATCTTCTGCTGCTCTATCATCTCATGGCCACACATTCTTGTGTTTCTATTTCCTCTATCATGACCTAAACCATTCTCAACTTCCTCCTCCTTCTTCCATTTTTAACTCGTCCTATGTACCCGCTCTTTAACTCCCATCTCAGGCAGCTCCCCAAATGGATGAGGAATGTCAGTTCATCTCTAAGAGATCTGTGGAACTGTACTGACTACAAGGAATCCAAGGAGAGGTAATAAAGATCTTTCTCAGGGTTCCTGCCACATGCCACGAAACACACAGCTATCAAGATCATAAATAATATAATCCCAGACTTTCTGCAGTATCTTTCACAAGGTATCAAACTGGATTCTGTGTAAAACAAGTAACTTAATTCTCCTAGTCCAATCATTTGGCTGCAGCAGAGCCCCTGATGACAACTTACTCCACCATTGTCTCTCATCTTATCTCGGCCTCGCACTCTGGCAGTGCCATGGAATGGCCTGACTGTAGGAGGAACTAAACAGCCCACACTGTCTGTTCACCAGGTAACCACGAAAGTGGATAATGATTGGTGTCGACAAGGCTGGAAAAAGCACCCAATACTTCTTTCAGGTGCTAGTCCTACACTGCTTTGAAGTGAGCATGCCAACAGCCTCACATACCCAAAGAGGACTGTCAAATTACCCAACTAGCCTAGCAGTGCAACGTAAAGAATCTAACTATGGCAGTTGGCAAGTGTTTGAAGTGCTAGACAGTTTCTGTTCTGCATCTTAAAGTACTGTCATGCTTGAGAGCACACACCTCTTTGGTGTCTGCAATCTTGTTTCAAGGTTTACTATAAGGTAACTTGGAGTTTGATGGCAATTATGATAGGAAACAAAGCCTTTTGCTTGTTTTTTGGTCATTTTTTCTTAATGTGCTCTGTAAATATTTTTTAAAATATCACTGCAGTACAGCCTGCTGT